CATATATGACATAAAGGATAAAATCGTACAGGGCTGCATTTGAGTTGGTAGTGGCAGTACAATAAAGATACATCTATTAAGGCAGGGAAAATGAGCAATTGAATCAGAGAGGCTTGCACTCACACAGGATGCATTGATCCAGCATTTGAAGTGCCTCCATTAGTAGGCTAAAGTATGGCTTCAAACAGAGTTTCAAACCTCCAACTTAAAAGCAGTTGGGAGCAAGAGAATTTGTCTCCTATGTCATGTTTAATGATGATCAACACTAGCAAATACACACGCAGCGGAGCGGCTACAGCTCAAAAAAAGGTGTGGTGAAAAACCAAGCCAGTCCAGACCATCTACTGCTGAACCCTCTGCAGGGCTCAGAATTTCTGAGCTATGTCAGCGCCAACCATTGCTACATCCAGTCAATCCACCATGAGCTGGGACTAAATCTGATGGGAGAAAGAAGCATAAATCAATAACAACTCTCAGAAAATATATCTGCCCAGTAGTGGTTCTGTGGGTGTGGGCTGCCACTGCAATCTTAGGGTCCAAACAAACATTTTATGTAATAAAGCAACACGAACCATCCACCACATTACTTAAAACTTTAGAAAAGCAAGTATGTTATTAACAAAATCACATGCTTCAGAAAACTCTGCTGATCTGGCTTTAAACAAACCATCAGCTATGTTAGGGCTCCCTTATTTCTTAGGTATCCAAGGTGTACCCTCAGTGCAAAGTTATTGCTGTGGGTTAGTACTAATACTCCGTGCTGTGTGTAAAAGGAACCTTGGAAAAGGCAGTAAAACGCTTTCAAAACAAGATTACTGGTTTAGGGTGGGAATTAGTGTTTGTTTTCAATTATCTCACAAAGCTTCTGCAACCCGGGTACATCTTCCATTACCCCCAAAAGCAACACAGCCTGGTGCACGAAGCGATGGCTGCGAGAGGCAACTTGTGGGTCACCTGTGACGGAGATACAGGCCAGCGGGGCAACACTCAGAACGCGTCAACACTTACACTGGCCTCCTTTTTGAGTCAGCCCGTTTGTTTTACAACGAATAGTAAAACTCTTTCCAGTGCAGGTGTGTCAAGAATTACGGAGCTCCGCATCTACCGAGGCGCTCCCCGGAGCACCGGGCGCAGCTCGGACAGCCCCTCCCGTCCCATGCAGCGGGCAGAGCCGGCCGGCGGCGCCTCCCGCCCTTCAAACCTTCACAAATCACTCCTGATCCTCCCAAGGCGTTCGCCCCGACTCCGGCCCGCGCCCCCTCCCGCGGGCCCCGCGTACCTGTGCCCGCCGGCGCGGCCCGAGCGCGCAGCGGCAGAGCAGGGCGGCGGCGGCGGCGCCCAGCAGCAGCCCCAGCAGCACGGCGGGGGCCAGCAGGGCGGGCAGCGCCGGCAGCGAGCCCGCCCAGAACTGCAGCCCCACAGCCCGCAGGCAGCCCCCGGCCGCCGCCATAGCACCGCGCCCGGCCCGGCCCGTAGCGGGGCGAGGGGAGGTCCCGCCGCTCGGGGCCCTCCACCGCCCGCCCCCCGCCTTCGCCGCGGTGGGAGGAGACCGATGGCGGGTGGATGCGGCGGCTGAGGCCCGGCCTGGCTCGGGGGCAGCGCCTGGGAAGTGTCCGCGGCGACGGTCCGCCCGCTGCCATGCGGTGGCCGCTGGCCGGGCTGCTGCTGGCGATGCTCCCCGGCGGCCCCTCAGTGCCCGCTCAGCCCCTGGCAGCGGCCGCCGGGCGGGGCCCGCGCCGGGAGCCCCGCGGTCGGACGGCGGTAAGCGCTGTGCCCGCGCTGTGCCCGCGGGCGGCGGAGCGGCCCCTTGGCGGGGAGGGAACGCGGGCCCCGGGAAGGGGAGGCCCCGTGTGAGGGCACGCCGAGGGTGTGCTCGGGGAACGTGTCCGGCGGAGCAGAGGCCGCTTCCCAAACACTTGAGCTGAGGACAGCGGCCCGAAAAGCTGCCTGGAGTCGGCCTGGTGGGGCAGCCGACAGGGTCTGGACTCCTCACTACGAGAAAGACAAGGAGCTGCTGGAGAAGGTCCAGCAGAGGGCCACAAACATGAGTAGGGGGCTGGAGCATCTCTCTTACTAAGAGAGACTGCGGGAGCTGGGCCTGCTGGGCCTGCAGAGAAGAGAAGACTGATAGGGAGACTCATTATTGCATGTCAATACCTCAAAGGCGGGTGCCAAGAGGATGGTGCCAGACTCTTTTTGGAGGTGCCCAGCGATAGGATGAGGAGCAATGGCCACAAACTAAAACACAAGAAGTTTCACCTCAACATGAGGAAGAACTTCTTTACATTGAGGGTGGCAGAGCACTGGAACAGACTGCCCAGGGAGGTCTTGGAGTCTCCCTCTCTGGAGACATTCCAAACCCACCTGGTGTAACCTGCTCTAGGTGACTGTGCCTTGGCAGGGAGGTTGGACTGGATGATCTCCAGAGGTCCATTCCTACCCTAAGAGTTCTGTCATTCTGTGCCTGTGCTTTGCTGTAATTCTGAGCAGAGGCCCTTGGTGTTTATCTAGTCACAGCAGCCCTGCCCACTAGTATCATCTCCCTATGAGGAACGCCAGTGGCTTTTAGGATGCGGCTTCTATGTGTCATTCTTTCTCCTTACCTGGTTTGTGTTTGTCAAGCCATCTCAAAACATGTCAACATAGTGTTCTTTTGCCCATGTGGAGAATTCCTGAGGCTGTGCACAATGGGGGGGTAGAGAGAGTCACAGATGATAGTCTGTGGTGAGATTAAAGAAAGACTAATCAACAGAAAGTAGTATTGCAGGAAAATGAAAACAAACAATATGCAAAGTTATTCTACAAGAAGAATAAATTAATGTAGAACTTGAGAATATGTCTGTATATGTCTGTCACAGTATTACTGCATTAAATTAATTACTTTTGAAGCATGATCTGGCCCATGGAATTGGCACTGTTTGCCAATGCAGAGCCCCTCGTGGTGCCCTCTGGTTTTATGGACACACTCTGCAACAGAGTGGAAGACTTCTGCTGAATATCCAGGCTATATTTTCTAGTGCAGACTACTGAGAACTGAATGTCAGATATGACAGAATGGAAAACAAGGAGTGCTCTTATGTGATTTGTGGTTGATCCACATGGACATACAAACACCATAGATTTTTGTGCTTCAGCTATTGTAAAACCAAACAGGAATGAATGCCTGGAGCCTGTGGAACTTGGGAGCCATTTGTGCACTGATTTCCTAGGAAGTAGGAAATAAAGCTTGTCAGCTAGAAAGCCACATTTTCTGCGTGTCTTTATGCATGCTTAGACAACTGTCTGCTTTTGTTACAGGCTCATTTACAATGTAACTGTTGATACTTAACACTCACATTCATATACTGACATAATGCATAAGAATAATATTTGGTGTTTATATTTAGAAACAAGATTTCATTTAATGTAAAAGACCTTTGTGTTCGTGTTTTATATTTTCATCAGTGTTTTAAACTGATGTCATTACATCACTTCAGTGTACTGAAAAACATTTTCTTAATGCAGATAGAGCTGTAGACTGCTCTAGAAATATCTGGCAAAGGTTGATCCCCTTTTAATGTGATTTCTGTTCTGCATATCCGTACTCATATATGGAAATGCGTATGTATAGATATATATCTATCCACCACACAATTTTTTGTTTAAGCTTGCCACTGGAGTTTCCTGCTCTTTCTATGCTCTTGAGATGCTTGGCTGCTAAAATTCATGGGCATACAGACTGTTTAACCAATGAAAAGAAATCAATAATGGCATTAGAGAATTTTACCATAACTCCACTTGTGTACAAGAATTCTGGAGTGCACAGAGAACAGTATAAGGTATTTGGAAATAGCCTCTAGTGAAAAGTGCCTGGAATCTCCCAGAGCTGAGTCCCGGGACTGCTCAGAGCGTCCTGCATGTACCTCTTCGGGTTTGTTTCTGTGTCTCTTTCTCCTCTGCAAGAGTTGCCTCTGATCTGGGACATGTTTTCCAGAGCAGTGTCCACTTAAAACCCAGGGCTTCTGGTAAATCCAAATTTGTGAGATACCTTGCATTTTCTGTTATGTTGAGAGCAAGTGCCCTTTGTGAAGTGAGAAATGTTTTCGTACCAGGTAACTAAAGTTACAACTCTAGCAATAAGCAAAGTGATGGCTTCCCTGAGCAGCCAAAAAAGACAATTGCCCCTAACTTGCTGTACTGTAACAGTGGTGTTGACACAAGTCAGTACGTAACATTACTCTCACGCAGTGCTTGGTAGCAAACAGAACCAGCAAGTGCGGTCACGTCACTTGGCAGAGTTGGGTCTTTGCTAATCAGCCGACATTCCGAACTCTGTCTTATCTCCTGCAAGGAAGCATTTTTGTTAAATGAAAACTTGCTTGTATGACTACTACACCGTGATCAAAACACTGGGCAGTAAGAATCCTTATAAGCCCCAGTTTCTTTTACTGATGTTTTAGAGCTGTGATTTCCGTGGCCATCTCTGCTGTCCAGGCTCAGGCAGGAGGCTGGCACAAATTGCCTCACGAGCTGCAGTTTTTAGCGTGTGGTCCCTTTGAAAGGCTCCGTCTAGTGCTCCAGAGGAAAAATGAGTGTAATGTCAGTCGACTTGATCATCTAATATGGACACATTCCTGCTGACTCCTAGTGATCACATTTCCTCAAATATGCCTTTGAAAATGGCAAAGAAAGATTATTTAATAAGAGCACGCTAATAGCAAACCCTTGGGCTCCACGGTAGTGCAGAGACTCAGCCTGATAATGTGACGTGTAAGTAAAATTTGAGCCCCAACTGGGCATAACCACACTGGGCAGCAGAGCCTTGTACTGCTTTACAAGCCGTGGGAGACCTCTCCAGCCGAGTTGTGTCTCTTTTGGTAGTTAATTTCATGAAACACGAGGCTTTGTGAGATGGGGTTCTGTGTAACTGTGAAGCATAAATTCAGCATAAAAGTTTAATAATAGGCATTTATGAAAAGTTATTTTTTATAATTGCTCTCTTCTAGGTTGTTAAAGATAATCTGTGGCTTCAGAAAGAAATGGGATGCCTAGGAATGGCAGGTATGTAACTGTTTCATCTCTCTTTTCAGCATTGTGGGAGTCCCAGGACTCACAGGGCATGGTTGTGAAAGTGAGCAGGGGACTGGAACTGTGCCCTGGTGGCCTGCTGTCATCAGTGGGACTCTTGATCTTGAGTCACAGAGAAGTGTTTGCTCAGAAGTAGGAAGAAAGGTGCTCTAGGTTCCCTGTACAGCTGATCTAGGATAAAGCCCCTGTGAGAAGACCTTAGTTTGTACCCTGCTCTGAATAATTTTCGGGAGGAGCCATTTTTCCTCTTGGAATGTAATGGTGTAGGGGAGCACCCTCTGATGTCCAGCTTTCCCTGGGTTGTGAAAAACCCATATTACTTAAAGCTGATTGAGACCTTGTTCCTTTTCAGAAGCAAACTTAACCTTTGTGCGTTTATTAACGCTGTTGCAATACCTACTTTTGAAGCTGTTTTCAAAGACCTCTGCAATTACAATAACTAATACACTTTGTCCTGGACCAAGTTGTTAAAGTCTTATTGACATAGTGGGGCTAGAAGTATTGCTGGGATGCTAATACTCTTTACAGTGGATATCAAGTATTTTTGTCAGTGATCTCAGGTACATTGAGCATCTCCAGTGGTGGTTGCCTAATCTGATTGAAATAGGGCGCTCTAATACTTAGAGAAGTCCCTTACAGCTTGGAGTAGCTTCATCTGAAGGCTGACTGCCACAGGCTCTTTGTGTAAATTTGAACAAATCAGTTGGTTTCTCTGAGTCTCTGGTCTTTCTTTTCTTCATATGTGTACTGTAAATAGAGTTCTACCTCACTCAGGTGTGGTAGAGATGAGCACCCTGAAAGGTTACAACATTCTCATATAGCACATTAACAGAGCAACACAGTGTCTGAAATAAACCTCCTCATTGCCACAGTTCCCCAAGAGATGATTTCATGGCATGTACTTGCCAAGAAATTACACAAGAATTTGAAGCAGTCATCTAGTGAGATACCTCTAATTTCTTTGCCCTGTGCCATGGCTAATTCACAAATGAATTTATTAATTTAAATACGAAAGCAGATAATTCAGATTTGTTGAGGTTTCTTGTTTTGGTTTTTTTTTTCTCCAGTATTTATTCAATGTCATCTTTGCTGTATGCATCTTGCTTTCTGATGGGTTGCAAACCCATCCACTGAGAGAGGCAATGTGTGCAGTTTTAAATGTCAGAAGAACAGTAGGTAAATATATATGTTAAATGAGGGGTTGCTATAAACACTGAATTATGTGCTTGATTTTATAATGGAGAATTTTCCCATTCATAAACATGATTTTTTAAGCTAAGCTTGTAGTGACTTACCTAGTCAGAGTTCTAGACTCTTTACTTTTTGCTGAAGAAGTTCTCGATGAAAGCAGAGATGGGAACTTCTGCATAAAACTTTTGTCATTGAAATTGGCAGTGTGCTGAAGTGTAAAATGGTTTGTGACAGCACACTGATCTCAGTGTTACTGTTGGAAGCTTTTTCAAGTTGTTTCTGGATAAGATGAGAAAAACAATCCCGGAATATTCCCGTGATAGGGGAACAAAATAGATTTTTGAGAGTTATGTTTGAGTCTGCTCTGACTTATTCAAAACCTGGAAAGTAGATTTGTTTTATCTTGTTGATGCCCATAGTTCCTTTGACATTGTAACAAGAAAAGCTAATGGCAACATTCAAAACTGAAATCCGGTAAATTGCTACCTTTGCTTGTTCATTGTTGTGTGTAATTGAAAGGACTTCAAATTGGATCTTATATCCTCGATGGTTTTCAAGACAGGAGTAATTTAGAACAACAACAAAAAAAATACAGTAAGCAAGTATATTTAACTCCTTTCTTCTCCACTGAAATAAAGCAAGGTTGTTCAGAGTTTTGCTGATAATTTGTGGTGTTGGAAAGCAAATGAGACTGTGGAATCTGAATTGAAATATTCAGCCCTTGAGAACTATGAATTAGAATTAATGTCTTAGTTATATTGCTTTTTTTCCTCTCAGTGTCAGGTAATTTTTAATTCTGAATTTTTAATTCTGAATCTGACATTTCATGAACTGTCAGAATCTTCACTGTTTTACTATAATTTGGCAGATTAGGATGGGCTGTAAAGGTACCAGGAGTCTTAAGGACATACTGGAGTCTTTGCTGCAAACCTATTGTAAGACTATTTTAATTTTCCATCGTATCATCCTATTTAATTGCCATAGCCAAGAATAACCTTCACCTTAACTTCTATCATGATGTTATACCTACCCTTCTGATGACAGGCTGTCTGTGCCACAAACATGTTAAGGACTCAGCCTGTTTAGTTCAGCGTTAAAGGCTTGTGTTGTGACAGGTCCGTGTCCTTACACAGAACCAATTTCATAGTGAAGGACAGTATAGTGACCACAAACAATTTCTTTTCTTGGACACCCATCCTTCTACCCTCGGTCTGTGTGAACACAGACACACTGTTGCTGCATTGTCCATGCAGTAGGTGTGTTCTGTACCAGGTCTGATCCTCACTATTTGCGCTCCCTGAGCACCAAGCAAGTGCAGTGAGAGCTCGCATTGGGGAGCTCTCCTTCCCAGGCCTATTGCCTGTGCCTTGAGTGTGGCTGCTGGATGCCAAAAATAGCAAGAGGTCACCACCCAAAGCAATAGTGCACAAAGCTATTGTGCAAATGACTACTTAGGGAGAACAGCAAAGAAAATTGAGCATTAAATAGCAGAGACTGTTGTGATCAACTGTGCATTTGTCATTTCACATGGTGGTGGCACTGCACATATGTGGGACTGAATGAATGCTACAGTAACATGAGTAGTAAAATGTTGCACCAATCTTCCAGCTGTTTCATCTATATTAATATTTATTTTCATGTTTTCATTTTGTAATTCAATACAAAGTTGACCCAGCAGTACTAGTAATTAGCTAGGAATATGCAGTTTAAGACAGGGTTCTGGCATATCTGTTTATATTGGGTTTATGTAGGATTAAATCATGGGAAAACATTTTACTAATGTGCTAATTAGAAGAAAGATAAAATATTTAACAACTTGATAGTACATTGTAAAAATGTGGAATTTTTAATTAAGAAAAACAAAACAAAATTTCTTCTTAAAGGTGGTAATATTGTCTCACATCTCAAAAGAGAGTGAAACTAATGCCTTTCTTTGATGAACTTTTTCACTTGGCATCTTTAGAGATGTTTGCAGGAAAGTCTCAGGTTGAGCCTCATGCTCTGCTAGTTTGCTTGCTGGGAAACGTTTTGGCCTGAGGCACTGTAGTCTGGGAATGCCTGGTGGGAGCTTGGCAAGCCCAACTAAAAGGGGGCTGTTTGGGCTGTGTGTAAAGCTGAAACTGTTCCCCTGCTTTGCAGTTTTTCTTTCTAAAAGGCATAGGAATAGTTTCCATTTAGAAACTAATGAAAGTGAAGACCATGCAGCCCTGGTAATGGCTTTTCTGAAAACAGCCAGGAAAATGGCAAAGATTGAAGCTGTAAGAAGAAAAGAGTGGAAGGAACAAGGAGACCTCAGAGTCACTGTCAGAATTGGGATGCACTTCTGAAGGGGCACTGACAATGGCACCATGGAAACTATTTGCACTTCTTAGCAGGGTGGTATCCAAAAAACAGCTCATTGCTTCTTAGTCGAGTGTTAGTATTTTCCAAGCTCAGATGAATTATTTGTTAAAAAAACCCAAAAAATCCAGAACGGAAATCTAGAGTATATGTGAAAACCACAGAATGTGTTTTGCCTGTACTGTCCTTTCTCAAATATTCAGTGCCAGTTTTTCAAGAGTCATCAGCCATTTACAATCCATCTAGGAAATTACCTGAAAAGATGCAGCAGGTGAATTGATAAATACAATTATATTTTCTTGATATTAAGAGTATGCAGCAAATTATGTGAAAAAGCAGTTATGTTCTTATAGGTCATCTGTTCTAGTGACACTTAAAATATGGGGGGATCAGGAAAAAGTTATTTTATTTGATTGACAGGGAAACCAGGGTATTACAGACTATATTATTAAAAATTAATAGGAAGGATGAGAAAAATTCTGGATAAAGGCAGGGGCACATGTTGCTGTATGGACACGTGTCATATTGGTTAAATCTGTTTAAGCAAAACCTTCCACTGAGTGCTGGGAAGATACAAGTGGATTTGCAGAAACATCCTTGTCATCGTCATCAGTTGAGGCTGCTTAAGATAATGTTAAAAACCCACAAAATCCCCAGTCTCCAATTACTGATGATGGAGCAGCCAAATAACATGCCTGGAGACTTCTGCTGGGAGTTGGGTACATTATCTTGGAATTGTAAATGATGACAAAGCACAACTTGAAAACAAACTCATCTGTGTAATTAGTAATCCAGAGATTTATTCAGAGTCAAGGAACATGATCAGTTAATTAAATTGATTACTGTGGATTTGATACCCTCCAGAGGGGGAGTATCAGGATTTGCTGTCACATGAGAAGTGCAGTTGAGTGTGCTGATGGAGATGTTATACTACATAGGACACAAGAACAAAAGATATTTTATGAAGCAATTACCCACTTCCTGTTGGCTGACTGCCCTCATCCAAAATTCAGAAGGAAATGATCTGCTGATCAAGAAGCACTTTAAAGGTAGTAGTTGCTCAACCCAGTTCATACATTTTGCCATTTTGACTTCTAATTCTTTCAAAGCCCTACAAAGAATCTCCATGTCATTCAGGTTTTCTGTTTACTGTAAAGGAAAGTGCATTTCCTGTAGTCTGGCAAGAACAAAAAAATTTTTGCTCCACCTTCATAGGAATGGGGTGGCAACTGCAATAATATATGACACAGCATATAAGAAATTATTCTTTTTCAGTGTTTGGAAATATCTATACAAACCTGCAAAGGGGCTTGATTCAGTAGTCAGAAACAGGTCTAGAGCCATTGGAAGTAGGATATAGTATGATACTTGTATCTACTCGAGAGTGCCATGGCCAGGTGGGCTCAGATTGGTAGCTAGCAGGTCTGTACTGCACTTATAATTCAGCCCTAGTGTCATCCTGAGTGATTTGGGCTTTTGCTTAGTCTTGAAATAGAAGTATGCCATGTGTGACTATGCTGAAAAAATTCCAATCCCAAATATACACAGGCATTTGGTATTGTAATTAGACATAGTCTTGTTCTCACTGAGTTTGCCATGTTATTTTTACAGTCCCTAAATTACACCAAGTCTGTGGCATTGTTTAACAGTGGTTTAAATAAAACTTAGAGAAGTGAATTAAAACTGATCATAAAATATAAACACTAGCTTTCCCTAGCCCATATATCCACAATTTTTTCCAATATAAACTACTCCCTCCCAGATGAAAACCAAACTATTCCAGCGTGGGAGGACAGGGAGGCTCCCCAAGGTGCGCTGTCCACCAGGGCTCTGTGAGCAACAGGATTGCATCTCATTCCTTATGTTAACAGAACTATTTTCAGTGATTCATGGGCATCAATGACTTAAGGACTCCTTTTAAGGGTCCAATTCTGAATGCTCTGTGCATACCTTTTCTATTTGCAGCTAATAGTATTTCTCTATATTGTTCTTCCAAGAAAGCAGGGGCTTTTCAAAAAAATGCTGCTTCTCATATTAATGAGATTTTAATGTCTTCAGCTTTTCATATTTCATTACTATATAGTAGTCTTTTAATAGAAAAAAGTAATTTGACAAAAATATTTGCTTTTCAATGAGAGTTTTTGTTCATGTTAATGTATATTGCTGATGATTAAAATATGAGATTTAAAAATAAGTAATAAATGAAAATGATTATGTAAATAGTAAAAAAGTGTCTTCTGTAAACACAGACAGATAGCTATAATTTTGAAATCTTCATGACATTTTTATCTTAATTCAGCAGCTTTACCTTTTGACAATTTATCATATTAAATTATCAATTTTTAGTATAATCTCCTTTTATTGATGTCATGGGTGCTTTTACTTTAGTAGATCAAAGTGATATGATTTCAAAACTATGCCAGTTATTTTCTGTGATATCATTGACTAATTTTTCATAAAAATTTAAGAGTATAAGGTAGCACTTATATTACTGATTACTAAATTGAGGAGCATTTGATTTGATGGCACTTCAACTGAAATGTACTTCTCAACAGAGAAGTATTTCAATTCTGAATATGTATTGGCATAGTCAATGCTTAATTGGCAGACTGTATCTTTGAAGCAGAACACCTTTAGCACTGAGGCCTCTCACGTTGTAGAGTGTTTCAATTATTTATGCTTTGCTGAAAATTTCTTTGTATTGAAAATATTAAGAGTTGATTTAAGTCTGAAACCTTTTGATTCATGCATTAGACACTTTACATTTAAATGGCAAGGAGTTTTCTGTGGGGTATATGGGTGTTCCCATGGCAGGAAAGAGCTTTGTTTTAACTTCTGCTGGATTTTGAGGGGCAAATCCCATCTGTTTCCTGTCTGGCCTCAATCTCTGTTGTCTCTAATGATTTTGAGTGCTTTAAGTGCTGGTCACTGCATGCACAGTCAGGTACCATGAGCCCCATCCCTGGCTGGAATCTGCACCAAATGGCTGCTGCACAGGAGCCAGCTTTAGCCCTAATGCTGAGTGTTGCCTTGGTTTTCATCAGGGCCCTTCCCTCTGGCCATGTGGGCAAACAAAGCCCCTCACCAGCCCTTGACTTCTGCAGCCTCGGACAACCAGTGGAGCCATTCGCTGTTTGCTTTGGTACCCTCGTGGACAAGGAAGATTTTGTTCAAACGGGAGTCAGATCTTAACCACCAGCTGGTCAGTAAAAGATGGTTTGCCACTTTTGATGTTTGTAAAGACTGTAGCAATCCTATAAAAAGTGAATATTGTTGCGAATTTACTATCCAATTAGTGTATTTCTGATTCTGTCTCAGATGATTACGTTCATTTGAGATGACACCAGCAACACCAACTAGTTGTGAGACTTCCAAAGAATTACTGTGACAGGCACAGCTATGTGATTGCTGCATAAATTCTGATAGACACTTGGTAAATTAAAAGGGTCTGTATAGTCTGATGAAAAGTTTGTGCATGGTGTATTTTGTTAGGGAATTTTTTGAATTTGATAGCCAAAAGACGAATATATCAATTAATATTCTAGTAGTTACTTGTGGGAATAAGTAGTTCCTAAAAATGTGCACTAGAAAAAAAGATAACTGTTGCGATAAAAAACCTCTTAAATTTGAAGGCGATTGGTACCTTTAAATTTTTTAAAAATAATTTCATTATTTACATAATTTACCTTGTGTTGCAGAATTATAGTATTTTCATACACTGTTTAGACTTTTCCCCTCTCTCCATAGCTTGAAGATGTTTCCAATATGTCAGTGTCTTCTGAATTTGGAATAACCCTTCAGAAATGTGGTGTGGTAAGTTTTCTTACATTTATCTTGTTAATTTTGTAAGAAGTTTGTACCCAAATGTCCTTTAAAAAGTGTAAACTGAATTGTGCCCATGCTGAGTATTTGGGAGTGTGTGCATTTTGATGGTTAAGAAGGTCATGCCCTCTGTAAGAGGCACAGTTTTGCAATGCTGATTCAAAATAGAAGTCAGTAAAATCTCTCAGGCTTTAAGGGATTTTAGACTGTGGTCAAAGTAAAAACCTCGCAGTCAATTTGTAAAAGTGTAAATGGACAAATCCCAATGAACTCTAGAATAATCAGCCACAAGGCTGGGTAGAGACAGCGACAAATTTTACAGGATGAGATAAACCTGAGATACTCTCCTGGCCCAACCCTGGGTGCCCTACCTGTGTCAAGTGTGGACTTCTTCCAAAGGATGAGGCACTGAGCCCTGTGATGCCCATTGTGTCTTTGAGCATCCACCACACAGCCATAGAAAAGCCATTGTGTCATAGTCTGCATATGCAGTGGGACTCATCTATAGCACAGTATTTAATGAAAAAAAAAGTTTCATTTGACTCGTGTAAATGCTTAAGAAAAGCAAAGATCTCCCTGCTATAAGAAACTTTTTAACCTTCCATTTTAATTTTACTTTATGTGGCATAAGTTGAAAGATGTACCTAGACTGTTACTTTTCCTTTCTTTTTTTTTTTCCCTTTTTTTTTTACACTGAATGAAGCAAGTCTGAATTTTTGTAATTACAGACAGTTCATCTTATCTATCCCTTGGAGAGAGAAAGTGCCTCCAACTTTAAGATCAATCTGAATTCAGCCACTGAGGTGCTGCATATGAGGGTAGAGGATTTAGTAACCAGTACAGAAGAGGTGACATTATAACCTGCACCAGATCATTTGCATAGGAAGAATGAATATGCATCACATCTCGTGGCACTAATTACCTATAATGTTATTATTGAAATGGCAGCATAACATAATTAGTGAGGCTGAATAGTGAGCAGTAACACAGAATATTCTGCTTTTCTGGCTGTAGATTCCCAATTTTTATACCAGAGCCTCTCAGAAAAACAGTTTGAGATAGTTGCATGTTGTTTCTTTCTGCTGTTCACAGCACAGCCTTACACAGGCTCATGAAGAATTACAAAATCCTGCTGTACAAAATCAAAGGTCATCTGTTGTAGATGCTGAGATTAGCAGAAAATATTTTTGCAGTGCTATTAGTTGTAAATTACTGAAAATGATATAATTATATGTGATTGTCTTCCACCTTCAACTGCAGTTCATTTTATTTTCTTTGGCTTACCTTGTCATATACTTCAATCCTAATTCATCTGAACAGATGCTTTCATGCAAAGAGACAGACCGGCTTATGCTGGTGTTTAGCTGTTTTAGATGGAAAAAACTGAATTTTGCACATTTTCCTCCTTCTACCATTTGTGCATTGGAGATTATCAATGACTCAATAATCCTTTTTTTCCCCTCCTTTTCTGTTTCTAGTTCGTTCATCTGACTTATTCCTAACAAAGATCCGTCATTCCTTTCAACTTCCATGGAAATTCCTTCCTCCTTTCTTTCTCCTGCCACGTCCATGCTCTTTCACTCCACTCTCCCAAGTACTTAAGTGACATCTCTTGCAGCGGGTGATGACACAGATGATGCACATCAGCAGCAGAGAGAAAAGCAGAGAGTAGGTGCTTATGCATTGTGAGTGACTGCCATTGGGTTTGGTCCTCTATATGGTTGATAGCCTAACCATCTGCTCCAAAAGCAGGAAAAAAACATCTTCAGGCAAATTAGAAGAGCGAGTTAAAGAAGATGGCCAGTGGTCGCTGATGCCAATAGAAGTGGTGTATGGAGGAGTTCTTCCTAGGAGCAGTCAAACCTGAGAGCTTACCTGTTGCTTGAATCTCATCTGCTGCTTTTCAGGGAAAAAAAAATATGTAAATTCTTTCAACCCCTTTGCAATTTAGCTTAAGTCTGACAGCCAGTCAAAAATAAAGAGTGACAACCATGTGTTTAATGTTAATCAGAAATGCAACAAATTTGGTCTTTTGGCCACCTGAGGAAGATTGTGGTAGAAGATAGGCAGTATGATTGAGACTCCTCTGAAGGGTGGCTTTGTTTAACCCCTAAATTAAGAATTTTGGGGGCCTCTGGTGGTCTAGTGGTTAGGGTGCAGGACTCTCACCGCTGCGACCCGGGTTCAATTCCCAGCCCCCCGGGCAGATGGAGCTCGTCAGCCCTGCAATCCATCTAAGAGAAGGTCACTCTAAACAAACCTACGTTCTGAGGACCTCACTGCCACTGTCCAAGCTTGCTCGGCCCCGGCAGATGAACCTCAGGATTAAAGGGTGGGCTCAGTTCAGCGCATGCTGTGTCTCACCTAAAAAATCCACTGCGCAGGCTCGAAGGGTTAATGACCTTTCCCAAATCTTCGCTCGCGAAGACTGGCCATTATCTTTATTTAAATTAAGAATTTTATTAAATGAAAAAATGAAGAGAAAATGCAAGATTGGTTGGAGAAAGAGAATGAAGTGTGTGTGGAAGTGTGCATTAAACCTCGCGTTGGGGACGAGAGGACTCATGCTGCCACATACCCCCACCTGCCTGTGAATATACACATGCTTTTGTTTCTCTGTCTGTTTTACCATAGGGGTTTATCTAAATTTCTATTCACATCTCCTCTCCCCAGATGTAAAGGAATACATTTATGCCTGATTAGAAGCACAGGAAGAGACCTGGAAATCCTTATTTTTTGTCTTCAGCTCACAGAATAGCAAGGGAAAGGTATCAGAAAACAAAGGGAGGAAAAGGTTTTCCGATTTCTGCATTTCTCCAGCTTCCACTTTTGCTGGTGCATATGTTTGTCTGCAGAAGCCCATCCATGCTTACTGTGGAGCATAATACAGTATTAAGAACTTGTGCAGTTTGAACCTTGAATCTTTTGAGGTATATTTTTCTGGTTTTGTGGTTGGGTTAGGGTGTCTGCTTTATGTATTTGGATCTTCTTTATGTGTCTTATGAGACTTTTTTTCTTGTTTCATTTTGTTTGTGCTTTTTAAAGCAAATTTCTAGCCTTTGTGATTGCAGATGAAAGGCTGAAATGTTGACTGCATCATGCCAGTTCAGAAACTAGGAGAGAGAAAATCTGCCCAAAATATATCACATTTTTAATATTTGATGATTTTAAGTCTCATAAATTTTGGGGTATAATTCATGATATATATACACATGACATTGGTAATGGTTTCCTCACAAATATAAATAAGCTTATTTTTATACATGCATGAATATATACATTTTTATACATTGTTTGCAGCATCTAGTCCAATAAATAGTTCGGAGTTTTGCCACTTAAAAGCAAAATGCAATCTAAGCAATAATAATTTCATTAAACTGTTTCTTCTCATTGATTCGTAAGTCATTCTAAAACTGTGCTGAATTAGTATGAAATGCAGAGATAAGGGATGCACAGTGAAACTACGTGTGTCGAACCCTATGGCTGCCATGAACTCTGGTGTGATTTCTGAACTCTATCACAGTTCATATTTTGAGAACTCATTTCCGTGGGGACTGCTTTATTATTTTATATTTGCTGGTGTCGTTATGCAGTGTAGACTTTTCCTTAAAAGGAATGTCTAAAATGAGAAAAGTTTGGCCTGAATCATAATTTCATCAGTTAAAGAAGTGTTAATATAGTGTTATTATTAGAAGCCTCATAAATCATCATGGCTACACTATAGGTCACCATATTATGATAGGCCTCATAAAGATTTAGACAATTCTGGCTTAATACGAGTTATGGGGTATCGTGGTTTAAACTCAGGTGGAGATGAAAATACCACACAGTTGCTCGCTCACTGCCCCACCAGCAGAATTGAGGAGAGAATCGGAAGAGTAAGAGCTGGAAAACTCACGGATTGAGATAAAGGCAGTTTAGTACGGAAAGCAAAAGCCACACACACAGGTAAAGCAAAACAAAGAATTAATTCACTGCTTCCCATGGGCAGGCAGGTGTTCAGCCATCCCCAGGAGAGCAGGGCCCCATCACACATAACAGTGACTTGGGAAGACAAACACCATCACTCCAAACATCCCTCATTGTTTCTTCTTCCCCCCAATTCATATACTGAGCATGATGTTGTGTGGTCTGGAATATCCCTTTGGTCAGCTGGGGTCAGCTGTCCTGGCTGTGTCCCTTCCCAACTTCCCATGCACCCACAACTTCCTTGCCAGTGTGGCAGTGTGGAATGCAGAAAATGTCTTAGCTCTTTGTAAGCCCTGCTCAGCAATAATGAAAACATCCCTATATTATCAACCCTGCGTTCAGCACAAGTCCAAAATGTAGCCCCGTAGCAGCCACTGTGAAGAAAATTAACTGTTCCTCAGCTAAAACCAGCACACAGAAGAAGGCAATTTAGAAGGTGAGAGGTCAATAAGCAACTCTGCGCTCAAAGTAATTTCATTTAGAGGGTATAATTGCTCAGTAAGACTTAAGGGCATAATGGAATAAATAAATAAAATGACATGACTGCATGTTGCTAGAGATTGGTGATCAGCCTATGACCTTCACCACTGGCTGGAAGCAGAGCCATAAACTCCCAAGTCCACTGGTGGCTCCATCTGCCCTCACATGGGAAGGGCGAGTCAAGACAGGGCGTCTTTGAGAGTGTGTGGTTGCTGTGAAAAAAAGGGAAATAGAGACCAACACTGCATGGAGAGAACGAATTTGCAGTGAGGGCAGCTTGGAAAAGAAATATCCTCATGGTACAAAAGTTCAAAGTTAAGAATTTTTCAGACTGTAGTTATAAAGATGTGATCCAGTTTTGTATGAGGTATCATGGGGTTACTTAGATTCTTGATTACCCTTATGGTTCTGCATGAGCTGGGTTTCCAACTTCTGGCTTTCTGCCACTTTGTCTCCAAGCAACTGCTTGACATACCAAAGATTAAAATCTCTGTGGGAGTCTGAGATCAAACTGAGTGTAGTTTCATTTGCAGGTCACTCAGAGTGCCTTTAGAAAATAAGTTTCCACATATAATGAAGTTTTATTTGTAATCAAGACTACAAATTTTGCTGTTAGGATGCACATAAGAGCTGGTTTGCACCATTAATACTAATATTTCCTGTTTTCAGGTGGATGTTGAGCATGACCCTCAAACTGCATACATTACACTTGTGATTAATAACACCAACACATTGCTCTCAACAAACATTACAGATCTTATCCTCCTGGACAACATCACTGGTCTACGCATTCAAAAAACCAGTGGGAATACGACCACAGATGGCGTACAGATTTATAGGAAAAGATTCTTGCAAGGTAAGGAAATCTGCAGGGAACTATCCCTGACTAAACATGTGGAAGAGCATCTGTTCAAATCACAGTATTTATTTATTTGTGGTGGTTTAAATTCTTTGATTATTAAGAGAGGTGAAAAACTGGGAAAGGTTTTGAGCTGCAGTTTCCAATTCTGTTAACTCACAATTTGACTCCCACCTTTGAACTGCTTCCAATCTAACAGGCACAGAAGTGGGTCCCTGTACCTGTAAAAGTTGCTGCCATCAAAATGAAAGAGTTTTTTATGACTGTATTTGTTCATTTTGGATATTTTTAAAAGCTTCTGCACAAGCCATTTTAATCATATATTGAGTGTTCTTTAGCCAAGTGTGGCAGGTCGGCTTGCTGAGATATTGAGGTGCATTGGAATTGCAAAGGGCCATGCAAGCAGGGAAGATGATTCATTAGAAATAAGGCAGCTCTTCTCAGTATCTGTTCTTTCCAAACCGAGCAAGTAATACAGAGATAAACTTGTTCCAGTCTTGATGTCAGTCTGCTCCTGTGGTAGCAGTCGAATCAGTGTACATGCATAAAATTTTACCTTTCTTGATTTCTTCATCTCCTTCTTCTTAAGCACAAGAACATAAAAATTAGCAGCTTGCTTTTGATGGTAATGATATTTCTCTTGGAGCTTCAGAATTTGCTGGCACCTGTTTATGATTGAAGAATCTATGGTTATGATAGTTTTATGGCAAAAGATTTCCAAATAGATAAGGGAAGTGAGAAGACTTGGGGCTGCTGTCTGATTGCAAATGGATAGCCAGGCTCCATTTTTAATAACAACAGTGTGAGTAGTGGTACTGATTACAGGGCTGGTCGTTTTGAAAATGTCACGAAATTGCTGGCTCTCAACAGAGATTCCCAAGAAACAATGGCCCCTGAGAAAGAATTAAAAAATGGCTTGCAGAGCTGATCTAGTAAGCTAAGTTGGAGCCATTATTTAATTTATTTATAATTACTGAATCTGGAACTGAAGCTAGCTTTTCCAGCCCATATACATTGTACAAATCAGCATCAAAAATAGTGCAGTGGAAGAAAATCCAGCAGAACAGATTTCTGCATAGTTTGAGGTTTGGTCATTACTGTGTTAATTCTGAAGTCAGCCCATACCTTGCCACTAGAGCTGGATAGAAGGGCTATGCCTGCACTGGCCTGTGTATTGTTGTGCTGAATGTTAGCCATAATAATTTTTCAGTACTCCAGTGCACCATGCATCAAAATTCAGCTGAAATCTGTCTGATTTCTCTGTGGTTTCAACAGGAGGAGAACCAGCCAGTTAGTGGTTTTAATGTAGGCTCTCTGCTTTACTATAAAAAATATTTGTAAATACATCACGTTGAGTTTTAGTATCAAAAAGTGATGCTTTTCAGCAGATTGCGGCATCATTTAATGCAATTTACAGATCCTGGGCCAAATTTGCTTGGGTTCTTCAAGGCAGCAGTTATTAAGGATGTTGCTGGGCTCAGCTGGCCAGGACCTGTCTACTCTGGGTGTGGGACATCTGCTGTGTCAGAAGGGAAAAGCTCCAGTGCTGTCCCAAGCCTTCCCCAGGGATCTTAGAGAAATTTTCCTGACAGCAAATCTATCCATATGCCTCCTCTCTGGACTATACTGGTGGGCTCTGGCTGCCTCCTCTGCTGAATTCCCTTGCAGTCAGTGTTCCAAGTTTATTGCAGCTTGGTTCCTAGGAGAGCACTTTTGCTGGCAAGGAAGCACAGTCTAAAAAGCTCCTCAAATGTTTTATTTATATTGAACTTTCTTTTCAAATTTGGCAAGCATCTCTAACTGCAGCTGAGCTCAGCTGGGTAGTCAGCTCTTCTGAGATTGACCCCATCTTCTTGCCTGAAAGAAGACATGCAACTGTACTGGGTTGTTTTCTGATCAGTTAGCTCCTGTTCTGTGTAAGAAAATGCAGACACAATTAGTTAGAGGCCACCACTGCACTGGCAGATGCACCTCACCTGCTTAATCTATACGATTGGCTTTTTTTCTCTTCTTTAAAAGGTGGAGAACACTTTGTAATCAACTACTCTGCACTTCTTGATGCAAAAGAAATGTGGGATGGCAGGATCTTGACACTGCCTGCAAAGCTAACTTTCAGCAGTTCATCACAGGTATTCCCTTCACAATTTTATTTTGCTCTTCATAGTTTTTGTGTAAAAAAGGTGGTTCTTGTCTGCCTAACAAAATGAAGTTCTTAGGAGAAGTTCTGATTGTTTACCATGAATTTATAAATATTTTGTGATATTTATAAATATAAAAATTCATAAACATGAATTATTCTTCACAACTTAGGAGGTCATAGACCTTCTTAAGTAAATTTGGTTTGTCTGTTGTCCTGTAGCTTTTTTTCTACTTTTTATATTTCTTTCCAGTTTATCTATGTATCCTGGAAATAGGTGTCCTCCACATACTTATGTATCTATTCCTGTAGTCTATGAGAGACTGAAAGTTTTGGAGAAAAAAAGTCTCCAATGTGCATGAGAGTGGTACTAGAGTAACAGAAAGGAAGACTTCAAACAGGGAACATAAGAGTAAAAACATATGCACTGACTATGGCTCCTGTTCTGGGCATTTTCAATCAACCCAGATTTTATAGGCACAGAAAAATGTAATACTGTGTACACTGGGATATGCATCTGTGTGATGAGAAGGGGAGTGTATCCCACAGAGCAGCTGCTTCCATGTGTGTTAATGTTACCCCTAAGTACACTGCATTTTCCTATCAGATTTATCTTAGCTTTATGCTTAATGAGAAGTATAGCTTATCTTCTAAGGAGAGGCTTTTCTAGAGACTCCAGGCTATTTGCCAGTGGATTCTGCTCTTCTTTTTCTTAATACAGGTAATTTTTTTATATCTCTCAGAATAAAACACATCTCGTATCGTTGACAGCATCATTCACCATAACTGAAGAAAAAAAGACGAAGGTAAATCCTGTGATTTTGTATTATGTTGACTCTCCTGCTTATACTTCTGGACAATCTAAACTAAATCCTAGGAGCTAAGGAGGTACTGATGTACTTATGTCTCATCACTCGGCTATTAATCATACACAAGTTCAATCTTCTCAGATTTTTAAGAGGAAGAAAACAGGACTCAATATAAGGGGTCTTTTTTTGTCTTTTAATTTAATTTAATACAGAAAATCTAAAGATGCCATTATACTCCTTGCCATGTTTTTTCATTTGAAGAATTGTACAGGCACAGAAAACTGCGGTAAGGAATATGCTCACCTGCTCCTGTGCATAGCCACCATGGGAAAGCTTTTTGTCTTTACAAAAGGGTGAGGTTATCCTCCACCTCTTGAGAAGAGGTTTCTGTATGATGCTGATACACAAGCCTGAGAAATAAAACTGCAGTAAGAGTGGCAAACTTAATGTTTGCCTTTCATTTTTTTGGAATAAGTAGTGTATTTGGAGATTGTGCACAGGGGCTTCTTGTTCCAATATTCTCTTCTGCTGGGGATCTCTGCCTTCTCAGCTTCTATTATTGTAACAGATGTATTTCCAGACTTGGCTTTCTCATAATTGAAGATCAAGTGCCCATTCTGTTAAAATGAAAGACATAATTAAATATGATATAAAGTAAAATTATACATAAGCTAGAGAATTCATTCTTGGATAAAGATCTAGCAATATTTAAAAGGATTGGACATTTTTATAGCTAAGAATTACCCATTGAATTGCCATAAATGTATCTTTTGGAAACTCTTATTCTTAAAGGTGTAAGCCATGCAGTAGCTGACTGGCTTATAAAAATAGCTTCATGAATGGTTTTCTGTAAAGTTCAGTGTGAATTGATCTGCAGCAGTTGGTGATGTCTAAGCTAGGACTGTAAGGTACGTTGGTCTCAGCCCACCGTGGAAATTCCTGCAATCTGTTACGATACGTAAAACCTTTTTAGTGTGGTTGGGTTTTTTCCCAACTTGAACTTGATAGTTAGACCTCTAAAAGTTCTTAGGGACTATTCCATCAGTGGGTAAAGTTAGCTCAGCTGCATTTGAACTTAGTAAATGAACAGATTTTGTAATTAAAATGTGTGGTAAAGGTGTATGGAAAATACTGTAAATTTTTGAAAAATAAAGCTCAGAAATTATGGAACGTACCATGTTTCACATGCATAGTATTTGGCTTTGGGCTGTGGCCAAGCATAAGGTGTTTCAGAATGAAATCAGTTTGTGCAAGGAAATTAGGATTAACTGAAAAAGGTGTGACATATTGTATTTCATTCATCTCTTCAGCTGTCAAAAATGCTCTCCATCTCAGATTTATTTATTACAAATCACTATTTAGGCCTGTTCATGGCTATGTTGAAGCCAACACACATATGTGACTAAGTGGATACAAATTGTTGACTTTGGGGATGGAAAATAGAAGAATTAATTACGTGGTCAAGGGAGTGCCATGTTAGGTTGGTCCCATCAGCTTTCACATGGTTTGCTTGCACACTTGGCTACTCTGTTGTTCTTTAAAGTTTTACAAACCCTGTGGATTTCTCTTCCGTGCTGCTGGAAGAAAGTAATTGGTTGCCTGTAACAAGGTAATTTTGTGGGTTATGAAAAAAATATGAGTGTTGCTCATCTGAGTGTCTGTGCCAGATGTCTTCCTCTGGTGCTTCAGGGGCTGTGAGTACCGTGTGCCTCTGCCCTTGGCTGGGTGGGTTTGATGCTGAATGGGAAGTTGTAGAGAAAAGGGCAAAGGGGAGTTCTCCCATCTGAGCGTGTTGCGTAGGATAGATGACAATTACTTTGATCTGATTTTTGTGAGGCTTGCTTCCCTCAGAATCATGCAAAGCAGTCGGAGCACAGCAGTTTTTGAAAGAAACTTGGGCCTGTAATGCCTCTTCCCACTATTAGGATGGCTTTAGAAGTTAGCTTAGGGAATAGCTTTTGAGGCTTACTCGTGTGTCAGTGGTCTGAAGGTTGACCTGCAGGGCCAGCACTGGTCCTGCCTTGAGCGGAGACTCTGGCACCTGCCCTGCAACTTCCTCTGTGGTGCTTTCAGATGGCATTAAGCACCAGCTGTGTTCTCCTCCTGGGCTTTACAGCCCCCACAATGACATGGACTGTCCTTCCAGAGCCCATGTTCTTTAAGTGTAAAAAACCAAACCATATAAAGAAACTTAAGCATACTTCTGTCAGTTAGAGCAATTTTTGATTCTGAGTGTACAATACTGTGAAGTAAACTGTGAATCTTCTTGGAGCTGTGAAACAGTAGGCTGTATTAGTGTTTGATGATCTTGATACTGACATCATTGCCTAATTCAACTAAAAACATGTTGAAATCAATGAGCAGCTGTACCAGCTTTGAGAAGCTGAACCTGTGAAACAAAGTCTGACATGAAGCAGTTCCTGTCAGTTAGAGATAAGACAGATTATCAGTGTACAAAAACATCAGAGAAAGAAAAAATAGGCAGTAAAGGATAAAATTTGCTATTAAATTGGAATAAACCTTTCTTAAATTGTAGACCATATTTGATTATTGCTTCCTATGCAGAATTACCATTGACTCCATGGAATACTGTCAGATTTCTGCTCCAAGAGATGACCCACCCATCTTTCAAGCAACATGTAAATTATTTACAGTTCCTAGCCCCAGCAGAGTAATTAGGCTTTGGTGAAACATTATACTAATAGCTGTGCTATGTTTTTCATCCAGAGATCTCATAGAACTAAACAAACACTAAATTAACTTTTGCTACATGGAGCATGAAGTAAAAATTAATTTTTAATGCAATTCAATTTAAAGATTAAGTTAAGAGCTAAAGTAAAGGCCTACAAAGTTGTTATCTGACTCATTGTTCCAGTGCTCCTGCTACTCTTTTCTGACTCAGGCTAATGCAGAAACTGCAAGGGTGCATATAGATTGGGTGGGTTTGTGAACTGCCAGTTACATGTTTATCTTGAACTCATATTGGTACTTTTTCCCTGTGGTCAGTTTTATTGAATCAAGAAATGGCCATTAGTTAAAGGTAACCAGCATCTGACTGACTTTCAGAGCCTCTGAGCAACATCAAATGACATTAATTTCAAAAAGACTTAGAAGAGTTTGGTGACTTTGGAAACAGGCTATTAAGTATTGGACACCTGAAAGTCACAGCACATAAAATTTGATCTGTGGGAGTTTTGTTGCTTAGAGTTACACAGGAATTTGGAACGTAACAAACCCTGCTGACTTTGAAACCTATGGAAAATACATTTTTGTTTGAAAATATTCATTCAAATGTAGTGATTAGATAACATAATGCTGAGAAACCCTGAAGTTGTGTGAAGCCATTTAAAAATAATTCACTATGTTTCTTACAGTTATAATCTTGGAATTAGTTATAATCTGATCTTTATATGTATTTAAAAGGTACTTTTAATGTAGTTTTTATGATATGGTCTTTTAATTTCAGATTATGTACAGCCATGCCATCACTGCTTCAGGGTTCTTCATCGCTTTTTTCATTTCCCTTGTACTGACATGTGCTGTTTTTCTCATCATTTACCGAACCCAAATATTTAAATGGAGTTTCTGTAGTAAAAACCAGGTGAGTCATACTGTCTATGAGGGTTTATTTAATTTTTTTCATCAATCATATCTGATGATATAACTTGCTAGCTAAAACAGATCGTCTGAAGAGTTTTTTAAGATAAATAAAAGCCACTAAGTGGTGGATTTGCTTCACAGGTAATGTAGTCTCTACAACCTGTATTCTTTAGCACAATCTGATTTAGAGGTGAGTGTAAGAATGATAACCTGATCAAAACAACTGCTGTCAGTACTTGGGTGTTAGTTCTAGATTGCAGGGAGATTACCCTTTGGCTATTAACTTCCTTTCATTTCCTTTCCTTCTCTCCATCCCTCAAAATTAGAGGCACAATGTCTCTGGGTTATAAACAGTTGCCAAGGGGGTAGACAACTTGCCTTGAGCATAGCAGAATTGGGTACAATTTTTTTTCTATTTTTATTATCAGGAATAGAGATTTGAATTTTGGTTTCTTAGTTCGTTGGATGTGCTTTAATCTCTCGAGTGATTAAGCAAAACAGACAGGTTTGGAGATGGAGCATTTTCAGTGTTCTTTATCCAAGCTCTGCCTGTTTTAGAAAGTATTTCAGTACATACTGGAACAGAGAGCGAAAATACAGAATCTGGTAAATATTAATCAAGTTGGCCCAAATCCAGCCCTTGCTTCTATTAATTATTTTTGTATTTATGTAAAGTAGAGCAACTTCAATGGGAGGGAGCTAGAGACCTCAGTCAGAATATTACCATGATGGGAGCAGTCCTCTAAGACAGGTGTGCTGAGAGGTTTGAACCCCTCATCTGCCCAGACAGTGGTGGATCTCTCATCCCTCTGGACTGACCAGAGTAGCTCACAAATCACTTGAAGCCTTATCTTCTGTGATTGAAAGTTACACCGTCAATGTTTTATTTATGATATGTCTGAAAAGTTAATCTCTTAAAATGAAAAGGATATGACTTCCTTCATTTTACAGAAGAAACTGTGATAATGAAGTAGTAAAACAGGTCTGGCTTGGTCCTAGCAGCAGATATTTATAGTGGGGTTTTTGTATAGTAATTTTATTAACCCTCAGTCTGAAGGGCATCTCTGTGAACTGAGTCACTTCCATTATGCACAGGATTAGTTTTTCATGTTGTTCACTCATAACGCTGTAATCTTACCATATATAATTTGTGTATCACAGCAATTTTTAAAAAAAATTACCCTAGGAAGTTCATAGTGGAGGGTAACTTCCTAGACTTTCACAAGTGTTCTGTGTTTTTCGTTTCTTCACTTGTATTCCAGATCAGTTATATACTAAAAAAGATCAGCCTGAAACAAAAGTCGTATATTTGATTTCAGATACATATCTGAGTTGCACAACCTCTTTACACCCTCTCCAGCTCTTCAGTTTGATGATAAGTAGTAACCCTCTCACTCATAGATAAACTGCAACAAAATTAGATCAATTACTCATTATAATTTTTTTCCTACTTTCTCTTTTTTGGTTGTTTTTTTAGGAGATACAGCATGAACTCAGCCAAAATCACAAACTGGAGCATTCTCAGTTTAATTCAGGTGATCTCTTCAGTGAAGATATAATTATGAATGACCAAATCATCGATATTCTGTCCTTTGAAGAACCTGGCAATATGCTTCGGGCTTTAGAAGAGTAAGAATTCACTGCTATTACATCATATTTATTACATTTATCATCAGTCAAATCTTTGATTTGATTATGTGCTCTTTATTGTTTTTTTATAATGTCTGTTTACACGTATTGCTGCAGTACCTTAGGCTTTTGAACTTTTAAACAACCATGTGTGGGAACTGAAAATTATTATATTTATATTGCTTAACCTGTAGAAGTCACAACTCCATCTAGGCCTTAGACATGCAAGACTTCCAATCCAAATGAACATCTAGTTTTGTCTCTGTGGTTCACTAAGTAAAGGGAAACCTTTCTGTGTACAAAGAAATGTTGAAAGATTGTGTTCTATTCTTGCTGAGCACATTCTGCTTTCCAAGGGATGGCTTTTGTCCTAGAAAGGAGAGCCCCTGCTGGGTGCCTGCATTACTGTTCAGCAGTGTATTTTGGAAGTACCTGGAGTCTAAGATGTGACAGTTTGTAGTGCTGCCAGAAAGACACCACGTACCTGTAATCAGTGGGACCACTCGGTAGAGCAGAGAAACTCTCTTGATATTGCTGAAAGGCCAGTCAGGGCTGTTTGACTTTAGCTGCTGTTAAAGATCATCTGTTCTTCAGCTGAATTTGATAAAAAGGTCTAATGTGAGGACAAGTGGATGTTGTTTATTCAGTATTACCATTAGCTCCCGGTAAGTGTGTGAAAGGCAGTATTATGCAACTATAAAATCTGTAGAAGCTGAAAAGTTACAGGACTATGGATGTAATTTTGTTTCTTAAAGGGTAACTAACAGCATTATTATTTCCTGTCTTTTCTTGATAATTGGGTACTTACCTCTGTAAATTGCACATTGGTCCTTGCTTTTATAGCAACTCAGGCTTTGAGAAGACTTATCCTGAAAATCATTATGTGAATATTAAGAAGAATAGGATCAAATACTTTTTAAAATCACTTTAGTATTAATTTATTTCAGGGAGAGTTAGGATCTATATAGGTTGAAAAAAAAAAAAAGCTGGACTATATTCAGATACATTATGGATTAGAAAAGTAAATATTCTCACAAACCTTTGGATAGGTTTATTTTTATAACAGAATTATTTCTGTACCTATAAAACAGGATTCATATCTTAGGTATGTCCAGGGGCTAAAGTTTTTTAATATTCTTATGAAGCTTGTGCATATGTATCTTTCTTCCTTTTCTTTCCTCTCAGTTTCTGTTTTCTTTACCTCTGAGTATGTAGAACATTGCAGTGAATAAAGTAGTTACTCATTAGCAAACACTCACTAACCTTCTTCACCTTCTGAACTATCTTCTCCTTCTTCCGGGATGAGGATAGTAGATAGACCACAAAGGTATTCAGTTACAATGATTCCTGCTGTGAAAGGTGATTGAAATGGTGATAGACATTGTTGTGAATGGCTCAGATCAGCCTCTACCGGTCAGTAGTGGGTGCTTTCCAATTCTGTTTAGATTATCTCATTTCATGTAGTTTTAAACCAGACCTTCTGTTTCACTTACTGTTACACAGATACACTTACTGCATTTTTATCTATTCTTTCCCCCTTTTTATTGGCACTCATTGAATATGTGTGTTTAATTACTCCAAACCCATTCCGCTCCTCTCTTACTGGTGGTGCAGTTTATCTGACTGAGAGAGGATCTCTGTAATGTGAATGCCTACACCAGGTTGCCCTGAGTTCCCTGTTTTACTCAGGAGTGTAAAAGAGCACTTGTAGGGTTTGATTATTCTCACCCCTAAGCAGACTTCCAGAAATTAGTTGTATGGCTGTTGCATCCACTGACCCAAATGCCTGGAGCCTGGGCTGATGAGCTCAGCTATAGGGGTCTGGAGGTGGGTGAGACAAATCCCAGTCCTGCAGGCTGGTTGGCCAAAAAGGCTGGAGCAATTCTTTAGTGCCTATATTAGAGACATGCAATATTTTTTTGCTTTCTTTAGTAGCTTATAATGCACCCCTTGTTTTATCTCTCATTAACACTTTGATATTTAGCTTTGGATGTTTCCTCATCTAATAGTGCTGGTTCCTTATTCATTCTGCAAGTTGGGGCAAAGCAGTCCATTAATTTCTGATCTGTATTACTTAAAAATTTCATTTTAGTGTTGTACTTCTAAACTGTCATACATTATCTAAGTTTTTAGCTGATTCCAAAGACAAATGTAAAATATTGTACTGTTGCCTTAGGAGCTCCTATGACAGCGATGTAGGCTAAACCCAGAATGAAATAATTCTTCTTATTACTGAATTGCTTGCTTTAAGGATAGTAATTTTTAAAACATAATGGGAAAGAGAAAAATGGTGCATTTTTAAGTTATCAATGGATAATTGCAGTAAATTTGAATGAACTTTGTGCTTGAGTGAAATGCTGTCATTTTACTAATTGTGGTCACAATCAGTTTATCAACAATGTTGCATTTTGTTTAATTACATTAGTGACATCGAATAAAATATTTGGGTTTTCAGTAAGGAACAAGGAATGAGGTTTGTTTTGTCTCATAGGAATGGCAGTATACTGAGAATAAAAACTGAGCCTGTATTTTGAGCATATTTTTTTAAAGTCATATATATGCCAATATTTTAGCATCATAATACTTTTTTTAAATTATTATTTTGGGAAGGAGGAGTATGGAGGCTTTTGTTAGGGAGATTTTGATTAGGTATTTTCAGCCAACCAACATCATCTTGCTTGTATGCTAGCTTGGTAATTCCTTCTGCATGTTTTGGTGCAGATATGTTTCATTTTTTTCTACATAACACTCATATAAACTTGCCGACATAATTGATACATTCTTTTGAAATTGCACTGTCATTGTAAACATGGTTGGAATCATACTGGTACAAACGAGATAAATACTCAGAAAAGTAAAAGCCACAGGATGTTTTTGTGTTCTTTGCAACATAAAGCTGTGTTATCTTTTAAGAAGTGACAGTGCCAAATCATTTAGCAGATACTCAGAAGCATGTGTTCAATATTTATGGACAGAGACAGCTTTGGAGTGTAGACAGTTTGTGGTGTCAGGAGGATTGGCTAGAGAACAAAACATACTTTTCGTGTTTCATAAGGAAGCTTCTTGGTTACTGATTTTGTGAGTTTTGTCTTAATAAGGCATGTTCTGGATGAACATTATGCAGCAAAATAACTTGGCTTTTATTCTCAGTAGGTTCCTTGCTGTGTGTATTACTGAATATCGGCCCATGGGCAATGAATGCTAATGAGGGGAAGCGATATGATTTGAATATTTGACGTGCACACTAGAAGATCATGTTCCACAATGTTGTGTGTCTCTTTTTCTGTATGTCTAGAACAGAATATGAAGAGAGTTGAGCAATTGGGGTTTGTGTCCGATGTGATGAGGTTTGACCATGTTCATAGTCTCACAAGATATAGATGTTAAAGGCAACTTAATTTCTTTAAATGGCTTTCCACTGCTACGACACTTCTTTTTAATCTTCATTTTCTACAGCTACGCTTCCTTTAGTTTGTCAGAGCTCTAGCTGAACTTGAACCCCTCTTTGCTGATATACAATATGTACTTCCAATTATATTGGGAAATGAGTAAGTAATATGTGTACATTGCAGCTGATTTTTTCTTGTGGTAGAGGGCATTGAGGCCAGCGTACGAGAGAACAGGACTGTATTGTCTCCAGGGAACCTTGACAGAAAAATAAAAACAATTTACTACTATATTAGAAGTTCACTTTTACTTTCAAAATGTAAATTTCTTACTGTACATGTCAATTTGATTTTCTATGGAGCAAATGTGATTTTTTTTAACCCTGGATTCAAATGGAAAGTAAGAATCATAGAATGTTAAGAAGTTGGAAGGGACCTTAAAGATCATCTAGTCCCAATCACCTGCCATAGGCAGGGTCACCTCCCACTAGACCAGGTTGCTCAAGGCCTTATCCAACCTGAAGTTGAACCGTGTCAGGGTTGGGGTATAAATGATCATATTCTCATAGCAGCTAGACTTGAATATTCCTACACAGAAAATGGTGAGAAAGCGTTACACTCACTATTAGTAAAAAAAAATTGAGGTGCTAAATTTCTGTTTTTGTAACTTTGAAAAAGTGTAATTAAAATTTTGGCATTTTAGAAGGGAGAGCATATTTAGTAATCTGTTTTTGTGAAATGTGTACAATGCGGGAATACACCTATACATAATAATCACATTGATATAACAATAAGATGCAGTGAATGCACATGGTATAAACTCCAAATCCTGCATTTGTACTTCTGTGTTATGAATGCTGTTATAAACTTGACAAGTGTGTAAACTATACTTTTTTTTTCCATCGGAGAAGCTCAAATGCTTAATATGTGATAAGAGCCTATAGGACAGGGGAACTGAAGAAAGCAAGTAATTTGAAATTAATGAATACTTATCTTTTTTCATCCTAAAAAGTAATTTTTTGTGGATGTTGGCTAACTCTGAAGTGTTCAGAATTACATGGGTCATTTCTGCTGTCCACCCAAAACAATTAGTTTTATCCAGAAAAGAGTCTCCTTTTGAGAATTGTGCTGTGAGCGATGCTTTATTCCATATAATTTTGAAAGAATACTCACCCTGTCTGAGTACATCAGAAGAATCTGAGTAGATCACAGCAAAGTTGGAAGCTCCTAAGGCATTAATGCATAATGCATAAAGCCATATTTATTTATGCTTTTGTTAGTATCCAGGCTGAAGTCAGTGCTTTTGACATCAGTGGTAAAATGCATGATGACTTCACTGGAAGCAGGACTGGAGTGTTTCTTACACTCTCTTGGCGTAGTCGTTTTTCAGTGGATGCCACTGAGCTGGAGGCACTTTGTCTGTCTGTCTATCCGTCCTTCCCTGTTTGCATTCCTCTCTCCATCAGGAATTGGTGCAGCTGCTGCACCTGGGGGCTATGAGTCACTGCTGCAGTGGGAACAGTGGAGACAAACCATCCACAAATGGCCCTAAATTACATGCTTTTTGATAGCATGTGTGTTACAAAGCAATGCTTTTGTAGAAACGGCTACCTCGGAACTCGAGTCTCCTCTGGATACTGTTGTAATACATATGCTACTAATTGGCAGATGAGAGATGAGCTTTCCTAAAATGACAGGTTTTTGTTTTGGTGACAAAATGTTTCTCTCCCTTTTAGACTTCAGAAAGTTGTGTCACGGTAGTTTCTTATCTTTGTGAAGTCAGAATTAGTTTTAAAAATGTGTTTGAAAGCCATTAGTTATTTCTAGGACTGTTAAATTCAGCAGCTGTTAATTCTCCCGTTTAAAAATTCCCTCTGTGGGCCTGTAATTTGAATAATAAGACTTAAAGACACAATTACTTGGTCGTTAATGAGAGGTTTCCTTTTTTTTGTAGTACGTTGTGTTTTGGGGTTTTTATAAATTAACTATATTTGCTTTCCTGACCCTAGCTGCTTTCCTGTATTCTTTTATTAGGTCTGTGAAGGACATCTGTTCCACGGGCACTCTCTCTGCTTCTCTGTGTTTGGTAACTGGGATTCTCCCCTTCTGGGTCTTCTCTGACAGATCTGTATATCCTCTTCCTCTTCACGTGAGTGAAAAATCTTTACACTTGCTATTTGCAGTTTCATTTTCTATGTGTCTGTTCACCTTCCCTCGCCCCACCTTTCCTCCCTTTTGTGCCATCTACCTTCTACACTGTCCTCACCCTTTTTCTGCATGCTTTGTCCAACAGGAGCTTTGATCTTTTTCATCAATAGGTTGCCATCAGTTACGAGCGCTTCATTAGCTGTCATGTTTCTATGATGCTGAATATGCTCAGGAAGTGAGGTGAGACCTTTTAAACATCAGTTGCTTTAACAAGAACAGTGCAAAGCATTTAAAACAACTTATTAAATGTACCTCGACTGGAGGAGACACAAAGTGTCAGGCTAGAATTTTTTTTCTACGTGTCACGAAACATTGCACATTTAATCTGGATGATTGTAAACGTTGTTCTTCTGGTGGACTTGAATTAAACCAAATTAAAACATTTAGTGTAATATATGTACTTGATTCTTGTGTTGTTGTGACTGCTGGTGTGTAAGACACCAAGACTTCCTGATGCAGCATGTTAGGCCTGCCCTCAGCCTCTCTATTCTGAGTAAGAGCTTGAGGCAAGGTTTCTGGTGCATGTGATGAGCTTGTCTTACTCCTGCTGTGTGGAGATCACAAACCAGAAGCAAAGCACATCACATGGAAGGTAGATTTCAAGTGTTTTTTTAGAGACACAACTTTTCTTCAACTGCCACTGAAAAAGGTCTGGCTGCTGTCTTCCGGGATGTGACCTGGGAGAGCTGTGATTTCTAATTACTTTTCTCCATGCTGTTACCCTTGGATTGGTGGAACAGTTCACGTGCCTCTTCTCTTTCATTGCCTTCTTTGCAGATGTGCTGTCAGGAAAATGAAGAGTGAGAGTTGCAGGTTATACTGACATGAGCTTTATTACTCTCTTGCTGACACACCAGCATCAGGTGAACTACCCCTATTGCTCCTCCTGCATTTCGCATCATATGGAATAACTTGGGTACTGTAGTTTTTGTGGGTGAGAGAGAGCACAGGAATCTTGCTCAAAATGAAATCAGGTTGAGTCTATAATGACTTGCAGTAAATAGGAAGAAATGCTGTGGGAAGACAAGGAAAGATAATAGGAAATGTGATGATTTTGGCTTTTATTGTTGGGATTACTGCTGAAGAAGACTGAAAAAGTAACAATTAAGGAGATGGCTGAAGAATGGCTTAATCTTTTTTAAAACATGCTTTAAAAAAACCCTGTATTTGTGATAAGGAATAAATGATATGTCATGAACTATATATCAGTGTGGTAGAGCTGTGAAGTGTTGCTTTATACTTCACATCTCAGTAAGAAAGGGTTAGTAGCTACTGGGACCACCAGCTGTCAGTGCATGCATGAAGAACAGAAAAACAATGGCTAAGGAACTTGTTATTCCACCAAACAAAAAGAGTTGGAGGTTGAAACTAATCAAATTCAAGCAAAGGATGAGGTTACCATTTTCAGATCTTAGAGAATTTATCTAGTGGAACAATCAATTAAAGTGTTGTTTAGTTCTCTGTTAGGGGATGGTTGAAAATAAGGATATTTCTCACAGAAAACAGATACGCTTCAATTAAATCAGAGCTGCTGAACTTAAAGCAGGAAAATAAATCTATGGCTTAGATTTTACAGGCTAGTCATGAATTGGTGAATCTGTGAAGCAAAGCCTTCTATCACTGCCTGACAGTCGTTAGGGAAATGTTATAGCATAAAGCTCCCATTTTCTGAATCCTTGTTTTTATTTAAATGCATTTGCACAACACTGAAACACTTATTTTTTTCAAGTTGTCATAAACAAATAGCTTGGTAGTAGCTGGCTGTGTCAGCAAAAGTCCTAGGACTATAAACAAAATGACTTAAGAGAAAATGCACATCTGCACTGCCCATTTAAAGTACTTGCTGTGATGCTTCATCATCCTGTTACCTTGATCCTGTCACCTGTCCTCTGTGGCTGCCCTACTGTCCTGGAGTGAGAAGGACTCTCCCTTAGCAGAGGGAGCAGATCAGCACCTTGGGACACTTGACCATGAACGTAGGTGGATGCCACCCAAGAAGGCTATGTACCTTCAGGTGGTGTTCTGCAATATCCATCTGTACACAGCACAAAGAAACTGGATGGTTGTGTTGTCTTGGAGATGTTAGAGCAAATATTACCTCTTACAGGATCTTCAGATAACTATGAAGAAAGTTTCAGGTGCATGAAATTTCAATTGCAGGGATTCCTGCTCCTGTATGGAAGGAAGAGGGGGTTAAATGGAGGAGATTTTGTAGCTGCAACCAACCAACCCTGCAGCAGATCACCGAGACGAGTATGGCTATCACTACTGTGTTTCTGTGCTTTTGAAAAACTGCAGCAGGAAAATCTCTTTGTGATAGATTATCACAACTTAAGCTAATGTCTCCTAAATACTTCAAGTGTTTGAGTCATTGTAAGAAAACAATTCCATCCCATTGATTTCTAGATGGGGAAAATACATCTGTTTTGTTAACAGAGGGGAAATGATAGTAATATTTCACTGATTTGGTTAAACTTTATTTGCTTAGATAAGGAAAGGAAAGTTTGAAAAAAAGGGTGAAGTCTTTCTAGCTTTTCATGCTTTGATCTATATCATTCTGAATGTAGTATCATTCTACTCTCTTGCAAATCTTGCAAAGATATTTACTATGGATTTGAAATTTATTCCAAGATTTGTTTGTGGAAAAATTAGACCAATAATTTAGCCTAGGTGAAAAAATGAATGGATTTAAGATCTTAAAAGTGTATTTTGTAGGTCACAAACAAATTCATGTGTATGTAATCCACATACAGAAGCATACAGTGCTGTGTGGTCATGTAATTTGACATATACGGGCAAAACCCACCTAATTTTCCAATGTTAAATTGATTTCAGAATAGGCAAATATATAGAATTTAGAGTAGTTACATAGCATATGAAATTAGAATAATTATAATTCCAATTTAATTCTAAAATAAATGAGAATGTATTCATGTGCAACATGACATTTATTGCATTTTGTAAACGCCCTTATATTTCCATCTGGTTTTAATCTCTTTTCTAGAACTCTGTTAATGTTCATGAGAGACAGATATCAGCTATTTTAATTTAATTGTATCAGCACAGAATCAAAACTTTCCCCTCTTCCCTGCAGAGAAGGGAATACACCAGCACAGAATGTGAAACAGTGATGTATCAATGTAGATGGGTCAGTGAGTTTAGAGCTGTTTTACAGTCAGTGAAATTTGTAGTCTATTCAGACACCTACTTCTGCTTCCCAACAAAGATGGTGGGGTTTGTTTTGGTTTGGTTTTTTGGAGAGGGGACATTTCTATTGGATTTTATCTGAGTGAATGTTTTGAGTTCTATTAAAGACAAGCTTTTTCTGTCCGAATTGGAAATGCGAGGATGGACATATTTCATGAAAGTTGCTGTGGTAGAAGTTGACTCACCCTGCTTTTTGATGAATGATTACTATCAAGATTAGTAAACTCATATGCTGTGATATTCCTGCACTTTTCTGACTGCCATTTCATTACCCAGTATCAAATGACTCTGGATATCCTTGTTTTCTGATAGAAATTTCCTGTAATCTGCGATTTCTTATGGTCCCGATTACCTTTCTACAGCTTGGAGGTTGCCAGCCTGACACGGGCAGATGCTGATCTGGAGGCACAACGAACACAGATATGTAAAGAAGTGATTGGAATGATGTTGAAGAACATGGTCTTAAGTCACAACCTCTTTCCTCATGTGGAGAAGAAGATAAGTTCTATTTTCAAAAAGCGATTTCTTGCAATGGAGAAAGAGATTCAAGAGGAGTATGAAAGGAAGATGGTGGCTTTAACAGCTGAATGTAATCTGGAAACCAAGAAGAAAATGGAAGCTCAATGCCAGAAAGCAAGAGCTGCAAATGAAGAGGCTGAGGAATTAATGAAGAAAATTAATGAAAAGGTAAATCTGGTATAAAATCAAGATAGTTTGTATGATATGTAGTTTTCTGTAAATGGTTTATCTTTTAGACTAGAATGGCTGAGTTATCCTCTTAGAAGAGTAAAGACAAAGATCTACAATTTAAATATGTTCAAAAATTCAGATGCCATAATTAGGGTAGTTGTTATTAAGAAATTGTATTTTACTTCACCAGAAAATTAATTTATCTCAGGAGAATCTGTGACACCTGAAAACAAAGGGTTGACATTGTTTTTTTATAATCACTTAAACAGTTGCAAAGTGGTGTATTTTTATTTACTGCATTTTACTGCAGCAGCTCCTGAGATCCCCAGTCAGACACTGTGTAAAGTATTTTGCACATTCAGAGCAAAACAAACTCCCTGCATCATAAACCTTACAACCTAGGTAAAAAGCTTCCAATATTTATGTTCTTATTTTGAAGAAAATGAGAATATAAGCATAACCAAAGGCTGATTTCCCTCCAAACTGAGTGAAGACAGAACAATCTGTGTTTTAGGCAGAGCAGGGAGTGGACTTCTCTTGGAAATAACCTCTGGATAACAGATAAGTAATTTAAGTGGGATATCACATACCCATAATTGGTAAGAACTTTTATGATAATTCATTATGGCAGTTTTGACAAAAGAAGTTTTTTTGCTGAGTGTGACCCATCAAAGGTATTCCAGTATGTTGAGGCTCTCGGGAAGAACTGTGTTTTATCAGGATGTTGTATGGACAAAATTGATGACACAAAGCTAATGAGCCAGTTGAATTTCTTTGACATTTCAAGCTGGATTTTAAATTGTGACTGTAGGGAGCTTTCAATACCTGTAAGATATGCATAGCCTGAACTAGAGCTTCTAGAAACTCAAAAGAAATGGCAAGGAAGAAATACTTGTGGACATCTTAAGGATGAGGTGAATTGTATTGTGCAGAAGACTTTTTCCTTCTGGTGGTTATAGAAGGAGTCTAGGCTAGATGTCTAGTGCTTAGATTGACCTCACTGAGCTAAATCCTCCTTTACAGAGAGAGGGGCCTGACTGAAACTAAGTATGTGAACTCATACTAAATATGCTTTCAGCAATGTGGCTTTTCTTTGTATGAAATGAATTGATGTTGGGTCATTCTGGTTTGTACTGGAAATCCTGAATGGTGGGAATCAAGCAAACAATTAAGGCCAATCCAGTCCTGGTGCTGATCCATTTACCATATACTTAACATCTTGCTGTTCACTTTTCTGTCTGTGAAAGGACTTGGTTTTGTACTTGCCATGGCACATGGTCCAACACGACATTCTGGAGCACCAGGGTTGGCTCACACCTGTGCTCCTGGGCAGCAGGTGTATCCTGACATCCAAGACATGGCAGTGAAAAACAGCTGGAGCAATAACCTCTTCCCCTTCTCAGCCAAAACACAGAATTTATATTCTTTGTCTTTTTGTTTAATTATTTGCTGTGTGCAGTGTGTCTCTCAATGAGAGTGAGGTGCAAAAGAAAGTTCTCGAGATAATTGGTATGAAATTTAGAACAAGAATAACATAGCAAATGTTATGTAGCTCTGCTGGCATAAGAAGCATTCTATGCTCTGGGGTACATATATGTTTTGATTCTGTAATGACTTTATGCCATCTGAGATTAAAACTATGAATAAGTCTTACTGGAGAACTATGAGAAAGTATTTCTGCCAAGGAAGCTTATAAATTAATTGTCATTCTGTTCCATTGTTGTAACTCTAAAATGATGCTCTTGGATTAATTTGTAGAAAGCCATAGTTAAAGTAGGTCACCAATAATAAGAACTTTTATATATTTGTAGTAGAATAGTTTTTTCCTAATTTATATTATTTTTTAAATTATACATTGTTATTTAATTGTTTTGCCTTATATGAGTCTATTCAATTTTAATAGGATTTCCAAATTGATGAAACCTAAGAAATTAATTTCATATATATAGTCTTTGTGCTGAATTTCGTGCCATTTTATATAATTTATCTTAAATAAGGCTTCTGAATTCTAAAAAGACTTCATTATGCCTTGGATAGTCTCTGGATTATTGACTGGCAGCTGTACAACCCTGTCATTCCAAACAGGTGAAAACTGTGGAAAGTCTACACTGATTTAATATTAGCCTTCATTTAAACCTGAATTCATAAAATATATATGAGGTAGTAGCACTGATATATTTTAAAATATGTTGAATTCTGAAAATCACTTCAGGTATATTTATTTTTCTCTTCTCTGCAGCCTGCTGTAGAATACAGAAATCTTCTGGATAGACTTCACAGACTGGACCAGGACCACCTGAAGAGGTTCCTTCTGGTAAAACAGGAGGAATATTTTGCGAAGGCTTATAGACAGCTGGCTGTTACCCAGAGAAAGGAGCTCCATACTATCTTCTTTGCACAGATAACAAATGCGACTTTAAAGGGAGAACTGAAGTTGGAAGCAGCTAAAACATTAGTGGAAGGTTACTCTAAAATACAGGTAATAGGATGGTAACTCCATTCCCAACCTAATGGCAGAATACAAACGTACAGTAAGTTTTGTGAAATTTTTCATGATAGATGTTGTCACTTTTATAGCTAGCTTTCTTAGAAAGTATTTTAAAAATTATAATGCCTTCATTATGTACATCTAGACATCGACACAACTGTATGTTGAGGCATATGCACATTTTCAAAGCCCCCTAGGCATCAAGTGCTGTTGTATTCTTCAGAAGATGTACTGAGCCCCCCAGTTCAAATATGTAGATTATTGAAACTGTGGTATGTCTGAAGTACTATACTTTTGTCCTTAGAAGGATTGAGTATCTCTAGTTTACATGTTCTAGGGATGCCAATGAAGAGCATGTTCAGGACTTTAGTTTTGCTGTCAGTTACATTTTAAGCCTCTTGCAACAAAATAGCTGGAATTCTTTCCTCTAGGGTTTTGTTTGTTGTTTTTTTTACTCCATTTGTGTTTAAAGTTAGTGCTCTAGATGACAAAAATTCTGGAAATTTTTCTTCTGGCTGCTTCTCAAGGAAGAGTGTGATTGTTGTGGTCCTAGAGGTTGAGGATGGAGGTTAAAAAGAAACGTTTGAAAAGTAGATGTCAAAACATGTAAGACCCCCTCCTAAAACCTGATGCACAATCTCAGTAGACAGAAGCTACATATGGGCCATTGTCAGGGGTAGTTGCAGGAAGCAAAAGATAGTTGAGCAGCCAGCTCAGAGAGGTAGAGCAAGTGAAAAAGTTTTGACCATGTTTTGGCTGCTCAGATGTGGGTCACATAACTATCAGACTTAAATCTTGGATGTTTGATGCTAGCAGAATGTCTGCTATAGAGCACTGTGTGCCTAACTCTGGTCTTTTCCAGACCCATTTGTAGGTGTCTTAGTCTAAACCTCTCCTGTTCCCCACTGTTGGAAGGAGGAACTTGTAAGAAGCTAGCCTGTGTGCAGCAGGCTTGGCTTTCTCTGTGCTGTACTGGACATGTGTGGAAGAATTATCACTGGCTTTGAAGTCAAGTCAGGCACCTTTGTAAATGTTACCCTTTATTTACATAATTATTTGGTACATTGTAAAGAAAAAAGAGAGGAAAAAAAGAAAGAAGGACATATGCCACTTACTGGTGTTACTGAACAATTGCTGTGTTCAGGTCCCAATTCAAAACCTTTCAGCCTGTGATAGCTGTAAGCAGGAACAGTGCTACTAACAGTTGTAGGGCTACATGTGTATTTAATTGTGGATAGCTGATCAAATGACCTGTTAACAAAGGGCACTCGAGGTGCACTAACTATTCAGGAGAGTATACACAGTATTGAGATAATCAGGCCAAAAGCTCAGCACATTATTTATTTTGCTTTGTTAAGATAACTGTAATCATTTGACATGATCATTAGGGTTAAGTTGATATAAGCTTATTGGTTTTCACTCATAAGAATTTTTTAACTTTGCCCTTGTTAATGAACAAATCTGGTCTGATACTCACAGGTGTTAGCTGAAATTAGCATTACATCTATTTCAATGTATTTTTTCACATTTTTTCCTGTAGGGAGACATTGAAGAGCTAATGGATTTTTTGCAAGCTAGCAGGAAATACCATCTAAATAGAAGATTTTCTTACAGAGAGTATCTTATAAGTAAGATACAATTAAGGCATTCACATGTCTCTGCTCTTATAAATGCAGCAGCAACCCAGATATCAAGTCTCCTTAATAAGATGGAAAGGTAAATAATTGTTTTCTTGTCAGCCATCTGACTACGTTATCTCACAGACAATAGAATATTCAAAAGTCTTTCTTCTGTGTTACCTAGCAGGGAAGTTACATAAAAGTGTTACCTTTGTAACTGATGACTTTGTTAATATTCCATCAGTCACTAAGGTAAGATTTTGTTGTTTGTATCGATTTTGTACAGCACAGAGATGAATTGTTGGATACATGTGTAGTGCTTGTTTGTGATACTGAGTTCAGTTGGAACCAGACTCATGTAAGGTTCTCAATGTCTTTATACATCCATTATTTGTGTAAATAGTCAACAGCATGTGAAAAATCGTACCAGGGTCCATTGCAACATGTACCAGACCTTTTGTCTGGGTTCTTTATGCATGAATATATGGATTAATAGAAAAGAACAGTTTTGATTCACTTGTCATTGAATGCATTTGAGGAGCTGGATGTACAGTGTGAAGCTGGAAAGTGTGAATATTTCCTGAAGACAGTTGACTAAGTTTATAAATAATGTGACGGGAGGATTTTGACTAGCAGAGTACACCTGTTGCAAGGAATTAAGAAGTAAAGGTCAGGTAAGTAAAAAGTAGACCTGGAAATGGACTCAATTTATTTGAGATATCATACCAGATCCAGGCTGATTGAGTACTCTGTGAGAGGATACTCATAGCCAAGGTGGAGAGATAGAAGTGGTGACTTACCAGACACACAGACACATAGTTTTTTAAAATTATGTGGGAATGTGGAGCACTGAGACAGACATCATGCTGCTACCCAGAGAACTGTGGCATATGTTAGTTTGGCATACAGAGAGATTACTGAGGAGCATGCCAGGGAAGTAAAGTATGTCAGTGTACAGGAAAACAATGTAACACTGCTGCTGTTGATCCTGTGCATGCAGCTTTATTTATATATTTTAGATGTCTATATTGATGTCAGTCACTGACAATATGTGAAATGTGAAATAAGAGAACAAGGTAAACATCAGTCTTTTTACAGTGTGTTTTTTCTTTCATAATGTTAATTAAATTCAAAAGTAATTTAATATTAGGAGGCAGGAAGTCTCTTAAAGATTACAAAGATTACATCTGTTGATGTGATGAAGTAATTTATCTGGGTTTTTTTATAACTTTTCCTTGCTTTTTTTTTTTGACTGTCCTGTGTGCTGCCTCTTTGGAATCATACACTAAGTTTAGCCTGAATCACCCTGACTTTAACCTCAAGATTCATTGATTGGAGAGAGGTTTTTCAATATGCTTGCACTGCTTTGCCTATTTTGCCAAGATCTTCAGCTGTGTGGCTCAAAGACAAAAATAAATGTCTTAGCATAGGATATATAATTCAGATACATCTTTCAAAGAGAGTTTCCTTCCATCAGTTCATGCCTGTCTTTGGAATTGTGTTACGAGAAATGGTCTGAGATGTTGTCACAGATGTTTTGGTTATGTGGAAAGCTTTTGTGAGAAAGTCACCTGTGTGGCCATTGCAATGAACAACTGGGACTTCTCAAACTGGAAAAAGAGGTTTCACCCATTGTTACTGCACCTAACAGTCACAGACCAGATCAACTATAAAACAGAGAGGAAAGGCATAGAATTAGTAATCCAAGACCTTGTGGATCTCATGCCCAAAAATGTACCAAAAAACTCTGCAAAACCCCCCAAACTACCGAGAAACTTCCAAAAACTGCAAGAATCATTACCAAGATGAAAAATTTAATTTTTCTAGCACTCTTCTGTTAAACCCTCAAAGTATGCAATGGTTGTCATACTCTGTGCACAAAGGAAACATGTCCATAGCTGGAGGTAGCATTTGTAGAGAAGCAGTCCCATTTGACTTTCTGAGGCTAGAAATAGTTATTTTCCTGTAACTTCCCGCACCTCCTGCAGCGGTAATTCCTTTCAGACAGATGTTGGCCAAACTCTTATAATTCATTCTTTAGATGTTGAGATCATAAAACTCTGAATTTAGTATTTCAATTTATGTGCTAGTCTTTTATTTTCTACAGGCAAACTGAAATATCCTAGTATGAACCTTATTTATAAATATGTTACGTAGGCTTGTATTTCTTTTTATAATTATAATGTGATTTGGGGAATGTTTGCAAATTGGAGCATTAAAATTTGAGCAGCAAGAGAAGTCTGGACTGAAGGACTGGTACTTTAAATTTGTATCCATAATATTCTCTTATGTTTCAGTTTATCATTGAACCTGCTTGTCTGTAGATACAGGTCTATCTTAATCTATTTTGTCCAGCTTTAATAGAGTGGCTTAAATGGTTATAAATGGAATTTTAAAATGGAGAACTTTGTATGGAGAAGAGGAACTAAGAAAATATTTAGATATAGATATAATTAGATATACCACAGATAGATCCAGTGATAAAACAGCAGATAAATATTGAGGGGAGAATTTTTTTTTTAAATGGAGCTTAATCGTGTGTTTAAAATTTATCAGATAGCAAGGCAATTTCAAATTACCATGGAAAGGATTCTGTGTGGCCAGAATTGAATGTTATAAAAAGCTAAATAAACCCAAACCAATTCCAGGGAGGGCTGTGAACATTTTAAATGAAATAGAGCAGCCAGAGTTTTCAAGCTGGTCTTTCTAAATACAGTATTTGAATAAAATATCCCATTTTTCAGGATTAGCTGTTGAGTACTCAGTGTCTTTTGAAAATTAAGTCTGGACTGCAATGACAAAAGGCAGAAAAGGATGTTTTAAAATATAATCCATGATTGTAGATTTGAGGATGTCTAACTAGGCTCTTTATGTTTTTTTCTTCAAGAATAATGGGCAAAAGGGCAATACTTGAGGCAGTGTTTATCCTGGCTTGTTTCTGCTGTCAACAGAGATGGAAGATTCTTGATGTTTTTAAACTACAGCATCTGTAAACGTGTTGTATCACTCCTGTGCCAGTATCTGCTCGTTCACAAGAAAATTTATTTCTTCTTCAGTCTCTTAAAAGTTCAGTCTGGTTCTTGTGACTTGCTAGGCACAAACAATTGCAAGCTCCTTTTAAGTTTCTCCCAAAAATTAAATTTTTATAAGACCTCAAGAATTTGTGTATTGTGTTTCTAAAGTGGTCAATAGACTCTTAAAAGATTGAAGCAAAGCATCTTGCACTGGTCTTGTTCTTCTGAATAATCTCCATTTATATGGACCTTGTCCATATAAAGTAGTTACCCAACAGTGTCCTACTGGAGCTTTCTGAAAGTCGGTGCTGGAAAGTGAATGCCTCGACGAATAATGCATCAGTATGAAGTTTTATAATAATCTCTTAAAACCTTTTCTGCTTGTAGCACTTCGTAATGTAGGGCATTTATTGCCCTGAATTATTTACATAAATGCCGATCCAGGCACTGGCAAGATGCCTGTTCAGCAGGTGAAATTCTGAAGTAGCTGCAGTACCATGGGCACAGTCTTGCAAGTTCTCTCTGTGTAGTTTCTGAATAGTGTTGTGATTCTGCATCCAGGTACATTCAGGCTGATACAACTTTTCTGCTTCATAACTATCTCCTTTTTGCTTTAGTGATGCTCTCGTGACTTCTCTAGCTTTCATAAAACAGTCTTCCTTTGCTGGGGTCCAGTGTCCCTTAGATAGTTCTCTGTAGCATCAAGTACAAAGTCCTGCTTTAGTGCCCTCACTCCATATTGTCTCCATAATTCGCTTGGTTTTGTTCATTATGGAGAAGTCAAAGTCTGCCTCTGATTGACCTATGATACTGCTGCTGTTGGCTACACACTTCATCTCTGTCCCTTCCTTGGTGCTCACTGAATTTGGGAGGATCTCCCTGTAAACATCCTTGTCATTACAGCAGTATTCTCCTTCATTAAAATTCTCCTTGTTCAAAGACATTAGACATGTGCCTGCACATTTCTTCAGTGATTAAATGTCTGGTATGCTGAGACCAAGCTTTTTATCATACCATCTATACTGTCTCATTATCTTTCTCCTCTCTTTTTCTTTTGCATTTCTCTTCAGGGTCCTTTGAGAACAGGACATCTTTTATTCCTAATACTGTAATTGTTTTTATATTGTATTTATATGAAATCAGTAATGAAGGTCACTTGCCAGGATCGAGCCTTCTAGGAATTATTGTAATACTGATTAATATAAGTTGGCACATAAACTGACATAGATTTTGATGGTGGGATCCTGCATTACAGTTTGAGCTGTGGACATACTGGATCTCTACATAAATCAGCAACCTGAAACCGAAGACTGGCTTTTTTAACTCATCCTAAAAATAAGTAGCTATATATCATCTTCCTATCATTCTGTGTTGCATGACTTGTCCTAAACTTTCATTTGCTGGGTGGCTCCAGCACATCCATCTTTTTCTATTGCAGATTCTTTTCACTGCTCTGGACAAGGACTTTAATTGGATGCAGCAAACAGGTTTATTTCCTCAGTACAAGAAAGGACGAAGGTGTTAAAAATAATTTCTTGGTTATTATCTTTCCTCACCATAATTAATCTACTTTTTATTCACATATCTTTTACCTTGGGCTTGATCAAAAAGAACAGGCAAGACCTAGAGTTTCCAAATATGCACTAGAAACTTGGGGCAGTTGGTTTGGAGTTTTTTGTCATAATGCTGAATTGGACCCTCAGATTAGCTCAGCTGGGTAGAGCATGGTGCTAAAATTCCAAGGTCACAAGTTTGATCCCTGTACAGGCTGTCCACTTAGGAGCTGGACTCAATAATCCTTGTGGGTCCCTTCCAACTCAGAATATTCTGATTCTGTAATTTTAACATTGATTAGTTTCAAGACAAAAATTACTTGGCCGAGAACGATGCATGGTGGATTGCTCTCGAGGTACTGAGAGGTATTTTAATCCTCTTTGGTGAAAATTAAAGAAATGCAGTAGATAGACTTTGGAAAAGCTTTGCAAAAGGAGGCTCTCTCTGGTTGACATAACTGTGTGATAAAGTTTATCTGAGTTTCTATCCAGTGCATACATTATATAGGGGATGATATTTTGTGGCTTTCTCAAATAGTTGTAGATGCTTGAGCAGTAGATGGAGAGGTGTGAATTGTGGAATCTGGCCACCATGGTTACAGTGCAGTGGCTGCAAAAAAGCCAGTACATGAATCTTCTGCTTTATTTTAGCTTTTATTTTGAGGATTTTAGTTGAAATTAAGCTGTCACAGTATTAATAAATCCTAATAAACCACAATGAGACTGTCCTTTCTGGAGAGGGGCTCGCTTACCACACTTAGGTGCTACTTTAATTTATGCATTGGTTCAGGTATCACACTGGAATGGAACCTTGAAAGCTCTGAATCCTAGCTCTGTGTGTAATGTTCATGTCTGGAAAAATGGGGATTGGATAAGTTAACTAGAAGGTATTTGGGTAACATCCAGCTTCAGGTCAGGAATTGGTGCTTTCAACTCAAACTTCCATGTTGACCTTTCAAATACCACATTTTGGAAGTCCACTATAGAAATTATAACTTACAAATGTCCAACAGCCTGGTCTGAATTAAGATGTTCTTTTATTTTTTCTGTTGAATAAGAAAGATTTGAGGAATTCCTAGTGTAAAAATAATAGCAGATAAGTTCTGAAATTCAGTTTGAGTTTGTGGAGAGGGAGATTTTTCTAACTGTTGGAGGCACCATTGGGATCGTGTTTTCTCTTTAAGTACTGTAGGAACTGGAGGTAGACCATAGCCTTGAACTTCCATTTGAAAGCACTGCAGGCCTAAGACTGACAGATTGCTCTTTCAGATTATTGTATTTTGCTATTATTTTGAAATTTTTATAATTTTTCTGATAAAAATATATTAGGAAATATGAAAGTAATATTTTTGTGGATACTTTTACAATATTTTTTTTACTTGATTACTTACTTTAAAGAGAAAATTGTTTTTAATGAGCAGAAGGAGTTATAAAAGGCATCTAAAATTGCATTAAATGAATGCATTAAATGCATTCAGGCATTAAATGAACAATTTATATATGAATAATATATAAAGTTTAAAATATCTCATTTGAATGTCATGTTACTAACTGATATGTAATTGATTTTGCACTTGCCTTCCCTTCCTTCCTTCTTCCTGTTTCTTCTTCATACACCTTTCATTCTGTCTTCACAAAGTGCCTCAGTTCTACACTCATCTCTGAGACTGTCCTTCTGTTATCCACTTGCTTGTTTGAACGTCACAGGTGTCACTGCTAAAGAAACAAAGATCGTTCTGTGTGTCTCCTTTGTTGAGCTTTATTATGGTACTAATTGCCTCAGATATCCTTTTGCTCTTAAGAATTTGGGATAACAGGCTTCAAACACTGTTATTACAGAGCAGGTCATCTACCTGAAAGTCATTTGGGAATGCTGCTGGACCGAGCTGAGACTGAAATTAATTTTGTTAAACAGAAATTTGATCACGATTTAAAACAAGAAAAGCAAAAGCTTCGGCAGAAACTCATTACCAAGCGAAGGCGGGAAATGCTGCAAAAGGTAATTGTTTTCAGTGTATTTTTTTTCATAGGGCTTATCATGAATTAAAAATTGAATTAATTTAAAAATAAAATGTAGTTCTTAAGGGTCAGCACTGCCAGGAACATGATTAAAAATAAGTGTCCATTTGTTGTAGCTGTGTACCACCATGTACTGTATTAATTATACAGTAATGACTAGCTGTTCTTATAGAAAAACCTGCAAGAAAGTAACTTATCTTCAGCTTATCTGGAGAAACTTCTGAAGCCCCTCTGCTTAGTCTAACCTGTCTGTAATGTGCAGAGAGCCAAAAGCCAACTGAGGTTCTGGAGTTGGTTAGGGAGAGGACTCACATGACGGTCACTATTTTCTGTGTATTTCCTGGCTATGTGTGACCTAAATGACTTCTACAGGACAGTTAAAATTCAGATACAAACCAAAACTATTTAAAAAGATGCTCTGCCTGTGGTTGCTTGTGGTAGGACTCATGTCACATCACCTCAGCCATCTAAAAATCTTAATGTAAATTCATAATGTAAGATGACTTGAAGCTGTTGAAAAAGGGAATTGTTGTCCAAAAGTATATTTCAAAGTTATCCAGAGTTATCTTTCTCTGCTTAAAAGATATAGGAAAAAACTATCTTAGATTAAGTGATATTTTTTATAGATGATCAAAATAAGGTGAGATTGATTTTACCTTTTATAGGATATGTGTTTTAATGTTTTATGCTCTTTAACAGAAGTCAGTGTGAGCAGAGACAGGAGGTATGATGATAGAGATGTCATTTTTTGTATTTATTCTCAGAGTAGATAGCTTTGGCTTAGCTTTCCAGTGAAATTGTTGCATGTTGCAAATGGAGAAAATAAAAAAAACAACAAAACTTTTTTTCCTCTTGTTTTTTTGAAGTTCTTTTCCTTCCTTGCTGTTTGATCCAGATTGACTTCTGGAATGCTGCCATATCACTGAAGTTCATCTAGCTGAGATTCTATCAAGCCACACGATCATGCATTTGTATAGTTGTTAGCCCTTCTGTTTAGCAACAGTCCATATTATCACAGGCCTGTGTTGGCCTTGGTATCTAACAGTGATCTGAATTATCACACACCTGCTAGATGCACACAAAACTGTCATGTTGAGGGCTAAGTAAGCCTCTGGACAGTGAAAAGGAGTTTCGAGAACAAGGAAAAGCAAAAGTGTGAAATTTTGTGTTGCTGTGAAATTTTGTGTTGCTGTGAAATTCATAATTAAATTAGAATTTGAGATGTACCTTCTGTTCTCTTGTTTCCCCCTTTGGCAAATCAATCAGCAGAAAGAGCATCAGAAGGAGCAGCTGTCATTTGGAGACCCCTTCAAAACTACTAATGACATCACTCACTACCTGAGACACTGGAAAGATCTTCTGAGTGGTCACACCATTGAATTTGAAGAACTTGTTGAAAAACTTGACAATGAGGCCAGTGAAGAGCTGAAAGAGCTTCTATTTAGCCTAACAGAAAAAGCCATTGAAGAGTTTAAACGTGTTCAATGTGGAGTGTTTGTGCAAGAATTGGTCAAACTCAATGTGCCAAAGTTGTTCCTGCTAGAAGCTGTGGAGGAGCATAAAAAAGAGATGGCTGTTAAACATGAACAGCTTGAAAGGGAAGAACATGACAAGAGCATGGCTGCTGAAGAGCTGCTTCAGTTCACCAGGCAAAAGCTAAACCAAGAACTGGAAACAGGCATTTCGGAACAAAAAAAATTAAGGAGCTGGGAACGATCAGTATTTATGCAAGTATCTCTCTACACTCTTTTCTTAGTTACTATTGCAAATAGAAGAGAACTGGGAGTTTTCACACCTGTCAAGTTATAATTCCTAATGATCAGTTCTGTATCAGGCACTTGGGAATTGATTATTTTCTTTTCCAGGCGCTCAGCCCTTGCAGCCCCAGTGGGTGAGCACTGTAGTGGAAATCCCAGGAAACAGCAGTTCTGAAACTAAAAATGTAGAGTGAAAGTTTTATACTTCTGTTCATTCCTTGTGAGGTTTCAGTTGCACATCTTTCGTTGTTATTCTCAGTCTGTTTTCAGAGGTCCCATGCTTTGGAAATGCCAATTAGTACATCAGACCTAATTAGCCCCCTGTTCAATTTCAATATATTCCTTCTAGCCACAAGTCAGGCCTTACTCATTGGCCTCATTTTAAGCTTTGCCATACTATTTCCACATATTCCCTAAGTGCACAGTGCAGCAGCCTACCTCCCCAGCCCATGGGCTCCATGCATCGCTCCGGGCTGCTCTGGCCTGCTGACTGAGTGTCCCTGGCACCAAGCCCTGAGCCAGAGAGGCGTCATGGCACGGGCAGTGTTGCAGAGTGGTTTTCTGGCCCCAGGAAATGTTATGAGCTTTTGCTGCCTGCTACAATGTGACCCTGGGGAGGTGGGAAGGCCTTGCCACCGTTGGAAGACTTTGCACAGGGAGAGACAGTGGCTGTGGCTGAGAGGGGTTGTGCCTCTCAGACTGGGCAGTGAGGTGCCTGAGAGACTGGTGCTGCTTGTCAACATTTATTCTTAGCTTTCAAGTACATTTATGACTAGTTGTTATATTGCCTGCATATTTACAGTACTACATTTCCTGTACAGTGTCTATTTAATAACAGACATTGATAGAGACACAGGAACATGAAAAAATGAAATTGCAGCTTTAGGGGAAGCAAATGGAACAGGAAAACGTATAATAGGCTGTGTGCCCCTGAAGAAAACATACCAGGCATAAGATTGAACAGGGAGGGGAAAAAAAAAAGGGAAAAAAAAAAAAGGAACTAGTAAAGGTTTCTCCTTCATAACTCTTGTTTAAAACAAAATAGATTTTTCTGGCCAATTTTGTCCAAAATATTTATGAAGATCGTTAATGCTTCAAGTCCTTTTTAAATATAGACATGAAAAAATGTATTTGCTGTATTTTATTTTATATCTCTGTCTGTGTATCTGTGTATATGGATTTATAGCATAGATTTTCTTCCATGAGTCTAAGACAGCGTGAGAAATTATTAAGTACACTGTAGATGGTTGTTTGGAGTAATCTTGTCTTAAAGTAAGTAATTTTTTGAAGGGAAAAGCTTCGTGCAGTAATGATTTAACTGTACTCTGCTAAATCAATAGACAGAAATAAGGATTTCTAAACTCAAATATTTTAGTGAAATGATGAGGTAGTACAAGTCTGTGATATATTGAATAAAAGCATCAGTACTAATGAAACATACAGTATATTTTTCATTGAAAACTACTTCTTAAAAAACATGCTGTTCATGCTTTAAATACAAACAATTATTTTTTTTTGAAATAGAGAAGGTTTCCAAACAAAAAAAATACTGTTTTTTATGAAATATTCTTAAGGAAGTATTTTCTCACAAGGTAAGAAGATGAATGTAGTCTAAGGTTAGTCACAATTAAGCATGCCTTATTTTTAAGTCAACTTCAGCTTGACCTGATGATGAGTTCCCCAGAGTTCCATGTTGAGAAACCTTCCTTCTACAAAATGGAAATTTTGAGTCAATCAAGTTGCTGCTAAAATATCTTCTGTGTTGTTCAGACTGCAAAGAACCTTTTTACAAATAACAGCTGGAACCCTTGTGACTTGGTGATGGGAGGGATGACATATGTGTTTATGATAAAGAGAGACTTTTTTATTTTATTTTTTTTCCCTTCTCTTTAGCTGTGACTGCTAAGTGCTGGGAAACAGCACAGGGAGACTTTATGGGAAGCTTTTGTCTTTATTTCAGCCAAAGTTCAGGGATTATATTGTCTGAAGAGGTGGAAGGATTCTCTGCATAAGAAATGTGCTAAAAATACTAATTTATTGTTTAAATATTCAAAAACTGTTTTCCCTTGAAAATGAAGTTTTCCAGTCAAGGAAGTTCTGTATGCAGAATTTAAAGTATCCCCAAGGATAGTTTGAACATGCTGAGCAGCTCAGTGCTATGCATGGAATCACTAACTGATATGTGAAATAGACAAAACGAGGATGGGCTCTGCCATGTAAAGTATTTGTGTGCGTGTCTCTTACATTTTTTGCAATATTGCCTGTATCACTGAACAGCAGATGGCTCTTTTTTTTTTTTAACAGGCAGCTTCTAAGTTTACCCCTCTCGCTGTCGGAGGAGGAATTGCTTAGAATGAGGCAAGAGTTACACTGCTGCTTCTCTCAGGTGGACAGCAGCTTGGCTTGGCCCAAGATAAGAGCAAGAACCTTGCTTCAGACTTTTGAGATGGAGCAGAGGGACACAGAAATGCTGAAAGTCGATCAGAATTTAGCAATGACCAGTAAACAGGTGGGAATGATGCGGGATCATTGTGGGGATGTGCAAGGGGTTCATGGGTGTACCTGTGGGTTGTCAGCATTGGCTGTAGATATGGTCCATAACTTCATAGGTGTGACAGCAGTGCACAATTTCCCTGTCTGCGTGGATGAGTGGAACTCAAAGAGAACTGTTTGGGCAGGAGTTGGATAAATACAGTTTTTTTTGCATACATCTGTGTATTTCTGTTGCTTTTGTGTCCTTCAGCTTTCTCAAGAAGAAGGCATAGTTATAAAGAGGCAATTGGGTGGCCAGAAGGGACAGTGTCTCTGAGGAGAGTGCACTGAAATGCCAAAGATTTGAGTGCTGCTAAGCCTGACTGCATATTAGAGACAAACTGGGTTCTTGACAGCCCAGACTGATATTTCAGTGGCATCCTCTACATGTTACTAAATTTGGCACTAAATCAAGGAAAGATTTTAGGAGTTTCTGAAAGGCAATGTTCTACATTGTCTTGCCTGTTTAGGAAGGTAATGTTCCTGAATTAGCTGGTCTTTCTTGGCAAGAATTTAGGCATGATTTCTGTTTCTTCTTTCCAAAAGAGTTGAGCATATACAAAGGGTCTGTTTTTTCCACATCTAGATGTGGAAAAGATGAGGCATACTCACTCAAAGTTAGAGAAACATTTCCAACAAGGAGTCTGTCTGCCTATCAAATCTAGCACTTTTTAAAAGAATTCTATGAGGGATGTTTAGTTCCTTTAGTAAAATGTAAAAGCTGTGGAATCATAAATTATTTTCAGTTCTTATAAAGTAGGGGTAAAGAAAATATTTCCTTTATGAATTGTATCTGATACCATCTTAAAAAGGAGGACTTGCCCTTGCTTTCTTTTGATTGAGTTATGTTTTCTAAACATGTAAACTACTTTGTGTTAATTATACTAGGAATTAGCCTAGTTCAAAACCTTAATGATTTCTGAAGTGCTAAAGAAGGGAAATGACTTTGCAAAGCCTTATAGTTGAACAGATGTTATCATTTCCCCAAGAGTACATATACTTAGTTGGTATTCTTGTAAAGAAACATAAAGGTCAAGAATAATTTGATTACATGGAACAGTGCCTCTTAATATTATCACGGTTCATTTGTGATTCATAGACTGTGTGTTGAAAACAATGTAGTTCTTAAATTAATATTCTTTGTTCATTTTTAACTGTGCTGGGAAGACAACATATCTGTCAAAATCTTCTCTTATTATCACTGCTAAAGCTTTTTTAAAATCAAATTCATATGCTCCCAGTTTTCATGGAAAGGATGAATATATAATTCTACTTGAAAGAAGTTTTAAAAAAATTCCCGACGTTGTCTGAATGTCTAAAAGGAGTCTTCTGAATGAATAGGCAGCACCTTCATTTCAGAAATACTTTGAAAGTCATCTTTGTCAAGTGTTTCATTAATTGGTGGATGTGCCAATAATAGCAAGTCATAATCTTAATGTTAGCATCCTCATATATCTCTTACAAATAAAGCATTTTGTGCTTATCCTCTTACAGCAGCATTCTAAAATGGGAAAAACAGGATCCAGGAATAGAAATAAGTTAGATATTCTGAAGAAATCTTTACAGGCCAAAATTTTAATTTATGAAGACTTGGTGAAAGATGAAAATTTGAATAAGGTAAGTACAAACCTTTTCTGGACTGAAGTCAAAACGTAGATCTTTAGTAATTAAAGAATGAAAGTTTTCTATCAGTGTGAATAAGAACTAGATAAAAAAAGGCATAAGGTCTAGTGGCATGATGCATCTCCCTACTTTTGCCTGCATTTATCAAGATGTTGTATTTCAAGTTTAATAGTTTTTGCTTTGTTTTAATTTTTGCATCTTAGTTACAGAACTGATGCCATGTCTCACCCTGTTTTCTCACAATGGTTCTGGGGCTTGGTGTATGCAGGATTGCAAGACTCCCCTGGATCCCATGGTTTTCTTAGTCAGGCTTTCAAAACATGGGTGGTACTTCACTGCATGCTTTAGCTGCACAACACTGAGTTCTTGGACATCTGCTAATGCTGCTGAAAAACCAGAACTGGATTCTTAGATCCAAAAACTTTTTGGGTAGGGGCTGAATTTATTTGTACAGAGCTAATTGGAAAGAAGTCTTGAATCTAGTGGGTACCTTATAAAGACTCACAGCCCCAGTCTGAAATTAATCCTTAAAAAACGAGTGGGGCTGATGCTAAAATGGGATTTTTGGAGGCTTTTTCCTTCTCTGACAGCAGATGTTCCATGGGGTTTTATTTGTGTTATTTAACCTTTCTCTCCTTCTCTTTCCCACGTCTAAAATGTGGGTAATACTAGTTTTGTATATCAGAGGGACATTGCAATGATAACTGTGTTAGACATAGGTGGTGCACAGCTGTGAGAACTGTGCAGAACAAGAGATGTCATTAGTAGTTAAAATTGGTATATAAAAAATAGCTTCACAAGTGATTGCAATATCGATTTGACTAACAATTTGAACAAAAATCTGTTTATATACATCTTTCCTATGCTTTTCATACCTATATCCTGAGAAGTGAAAAATACCAGGTCAACATGTTAATTCAGAAATAATTTCACTTTTATTTGAGAGCAACACATTGTTAGTACTGTTTGCAAAGGATAAAAGCAACTATTTAGCTAGTCCAGCACCCAGTCTTTAAAGGTGAAAGCAGGTGTTTGGGCAAGATTGCAACAAGTGGGCAAGTGTTTTCTAGCATTCTTTAGTAGTTTAATAACTGTGGTGCAAGAATGTCCTAATTCTTTAGTGGAGGCATTTAAACTTTTTTTTTACCTCAATACCTAATACCCTGATCTCCAAAATTTAGGGGTTTTTAGGTACTGTTACTTGAAAGTGCAACAGATAATGGACTAAACTCTTATGTTAAAAAAAGTGCTAAATACTTCTTTGGTGTGAATATTACGTTGCATTTTTATTAGAATCTTGTTTTAAAATTGGAAAGTTAGCTTCTCTAAGCCTCGTTGTTTCAGTTTTATATGCACCATCTGGCACATGTGTTATTGTTCTAATTGTGTGGCTGCACATTAGTTATGAAAAGCCAAATCCTCTGTGCTTTTACCAATAAGGAAGCTAAACTATCATTAAAGAAAACCATTAGTTCAGCCATTATCATTAGAACACAGAAGTATTGCAGTAAACCTGAGGTTGATCACAGAAGTAGAGTTTCTTTCTTTTGTCTGTTGCAAACTGTTACGTTATTCCTCATTTATCTTACACTTCTACATTTTACTTTAATATGAAGACTTTTATTATCTCACTCAAAACTGCCCACCTGAAGTTGCATGGCCAGTTCAAGGCAGGGAAGAAGGATGATGGACCAACACAGCTCTGCTGTGTTTCTTCACCGTCACTGCTGCAGACTTCACACAGTGTAATGGATTCTGTCTCTCTGCAGGATGGCTGTGAAATGGTTCCCAGCTAATGCTTATGAAAACAGCAGCAGAATGTGTCTTGTAATATGGTAAAATAGGCATGACAGAGAAGAACAATCTAGACAGGAGACAGTGAGCTGGGAGGCCATGGCAAGAAGTTTGAATCCCAATATTGGATTATCATTGACCTCGCTGTGAAAATCTTCAAAAGCAGACTGCCTGCTTCTTCTGTATTTCATAGATGTTTTGAGCTGTCTTGTGGTTGAGGACGTAGCTGTTCCTTTCTGAAACAGCAGTTACCTATCTCAGAAGAAACACAGGGGCCAAAATGCTGACATTCTTTAGCCTATTTTCACTGCTGGACTGAAAAAAAAAAAAACCCAGTTGATAATACTTGTGTGAGAAATGTCTTTGGGGTTGCAGGTAATCAAGTAGATATTCAGATTTTTTTTTTTATTTGTAATATTTGGGACTGAGGCAACACTAGTTAGTAATTAGGCTGAGCTAAATAAGGAATTTAGAGGTCAGTGCTTTCAAGCAGTGGACTAATCATAGTGCATTTACAGCATTGCCAATTTGGAATCAGGAGGAAATATTCAGACCTACAGGAGAGGATTTGTCATAACCAAGGTAGTTTGACACTCTAATAATATATCAAATAGTAAAGAGTCAAACAGTATTTTACAGTTTTGTGTTCGGTATAATACAAAGCTTCAAATCTGACCAGTGACTATTAGTTTCTAATTTAGTTTGTAATTAATATTTGATCCAGTTTCTACTGAAATCGCCTTCTGTGTCACACTGAATTCAGGTCTACTTGCAAGCTTTGGATTTCACAAATATGTTTCTGTTTTCAGAGCTGTGATTTCAGAGCTGACAAGAGGCAGAAAGAAACTTCTGTGGCTGAGGAGTAGATAGTACTACCAGTTGAGTAATGCAGCATATTGTTTGTTTAAGAGCAGTTAATTTATTATATAACGTTGAATAGATGCTGAATGATAATGCTGAACATCATTCCTATAGAATCATAGAATAATTTGAGTTGGAAGGGACTTTCAAAGGCTATCTAGTCCAACCCCCCTGCAATTACCAGAGACATCTTCCACTAGACCAGCTTGCTCAGAGCCCTGTTCAGCCTGACCTTGAACGTTTCCAGGGATGGGGCATCTCCTACCTCCCTGGACAACATGTGCCAGTGTTTCGTCACCTTCATTGTAAAATACTGTAAAATATTTCTTTCTTTCGTTGTAAAATATTTAATATTAATTTAATTAATATTAATTTACTATACATATTAATACATACGTAAACTCTTGTAGAATATTTCTAACTATTGTAAAATATTTCTTCCTTATCTTTAGTCTAAGTCTACCCTCTTTTGATGTAAAACAATTACTATTGCAACAGATCCCACTAAAAATTTTATCCCCATCTTTCCCCCTGAAGTACTGAAAGGTTGCAGTAAGGTGTCCTCAGAGCCTTCTCTTCTCTAGGCTGAACAACCTCAGCTCTCTCGGCCTGTCTTCATAGGAGAGGTGTTCCATCCCTTGTATTTTGGACATACTTGATGTAAGGCTTCATACTTAGTAATATGCAAATACTATCTATTTTTGCAGTTTGGACCATAAATCTTAGGATTCGTGGAATATACTGAACATACCATATACACTCTGTTATTTGATAAAAGTGTAAGTGTTTCTGTCATCAGTGGCATCGCTTCTGCCTTTGAATTCAGCTGCAATTAAAATATACATTCTTGTGTCTCCTTCTAAGTGAACTTGAGTTGTCAAACTGCATTTCCATCATTATTCATTTTAATGAGTTCAAACTTATACTAAAGGTGATAACTCATTTACTCATTCATGTATTCGTTATTCATTCATCTATCTCCAGATTTCATATATGTATAAATCATTTAAAATCCTTGTGTCTGAAACTGAGCCTCCTGTGAAGAAAGAAGCGAACTGTAAATTCAGTTGTGTGCACACACCTGTCAAAACATTACTGTGTCATTTTTTTTACTCTATATTTTTGAAGGTTTATAGCACATCCAGTTTCTAAACCACAGAGGCAGCCTTCAGATATTACTTAATAATTTTGTGGCGTATAAAACAAGTCATACCTCAAGCATTTGTTTTCTCTTTTCTTGAGATACTGTAAAATTATGTGTGTGCTGGCAGGCAGTACCTTAGACATGTAAATAAAAGATGTAAAAAAAGGTTGATTCCTCAGTGTATGCATGTTGTCATGACTCAGTCATGCTAGTAGTGTTGTAATAATTTCTGTTAGTTAAGAAGTTGTTCTAATGTATTGAATAGGGAACATAACATATACTCTAAAGCATTAGTCCTTTTGAAAATGGACCTACTTATTCCTAATCAGGTAAGCCTGTTTGATTATTTTCTTCCCCTTTCTTGTATAGATGCTATTGTAATGCAAATCATAATATAAATTATTAGTCTCTTGCAGCAAAAATTTTGGTTGTTTTCATCCATCATTTTCCAGCTTTTAAATAATCATCTGTAGGATGATTGCTTACTCTTGATTTGTAATTGACCTAATTCAAATTAGTAGGAAATATTTCCTGAAGGTACCTTCTATCTCTTCCATTCAAGGATGTTCCAGATGATGCAGTCTAGACGTTGGAGAATATCACATGAGCAGGAGAATATCACAAGCATATTTGGTTCCAAATCACATCTTAAATTTACCTCTATTTACTGGATAATAGAATTTGTATGATACACAGTCTCTCTTAGCAGGTCTCTTATCAATAAAATTTCCAGAGAAAATTCATGAGCATCATGTTACATATTTATCAACTTTGGTATCTAAAAACTTGAGGGAATTATCCTTAAAGTCTCCTTTAAAGCTTATCATCTAGTAACTACAGTGGTAGAGGATCAAGGGTTGGACTTGATGATCTCGGAGGTCCTTTCCAACCTGGCTAATTCTATGATTCTGTAAATAGAGTCAATAATATATAATTGTGATTAACATGAATAGGAAGCTAATAAGGTTTTTAATGTCTCTAGTACCTATCATTTCTGTTTGTGCAAGGATATTCTGAGGGGCAAAATCAGGTCTTGTGCCAATGGGAAGTCATACAGTGTCTAAAGACTACTACTGTTGACCTTTCTGTGTTATAGTTCACACCTGCAGGGCATTTACTATTGGTCTTTATTATTTTATAGACTGGTAAAAAGGGGAGGATTAAGACTGCATGTACAAAGGTGTGCCATGGGATGCCTACCATGCTAAGGTGCTAACCATGTAGGTATCTCAGTTAAACAGCAATGTTCATCTCTGCCTGTTCTTTAAAGAGAGAGGCCAAACTTGGTGGGATAAATGCTTTTCCATAGAGTGCTAATGTGAGTATCAGCTCTCAGGGTCCATGGCGATAGTAAACTTGACCAAAACTTCAAAAGATTTTGACATGCCTCCTTTCATGGCTTGGTTCTTCATTCTGTCATAGGCAGTAGGCACTTGAGTTTTGCTGTTAAAATATATAATACTGGAAACTTCTGAAAATGCTGATTTCTTAGAATGATTGTGGTTGGTTTTGGTTTTTTTGGTATGCTGTGAAACCTATCAGATTAGATTTGTCAGGACCAAGAGAGAATTTAGAAGTGGAGTGAGGAAAAACTGTGGGCCCAGCAGTGTGCAGGTGGGCTCTTTCTGTGCTTTGCTTCGTTGTAGATCCAGCGTGTAGGGCAGCAGTTAGTATCAACCCAAGTAGTGGAGTTGGAGCTCTAATGGCTGCATGTGTTTTCTCTTTTTGTGTTTTCTCTCTCTTACAATCCAACTTTTGGGCCCATGTGAGTAATACAGGAAGAGGGAATAAAACCAAACTGGTAATTGTTTACTGTCTGATACCTAAGTGTTAGATATGCAGTGTAGCCATCGGTGTCTAACCTAAACATCCACCTGACACATCAGTGGAAACCCGTGTTTTATTTTTACAATACAAAACCTACTGAGAAGTACCTTTTCTTTTTCTCTGACTGTGAAGAGAGCTTAGAGTGGCAAGCTCAGATGGAAGCTGGCTCCTATCCACATTGTCCCACCGAAAAATGTCAGTGCAGTATCCTTGGCTCTCAGTGTCAGTGGTATAGTGTGGAGAGTATTGATCACACTGCATTTGATTTTGTGCTTGCATGTGCTGGGCTTGAAGAGTTTCTGTGAATGTCCCATTAGATGTGTGGCAGCAACATAGGTACTGACTTAAATCACTTTAATTTAATCCTGTTTGTTGTTGAATCAATCCGGTTTTAATCTGTTTTGAAATATATTACCAGTACTCTTTTGATTTAGGATTTAACTTTGTTTTATATAAGGGCATTTTTGGTTATTTGTTCAAAGAGTAGTAAGTCGGATATCATTGGTCAGTGTTAACTGACACTTGCCAATTTGGAACTAAATAGAGTCTTTCTAGAAGTTCATATTTTTTTATAAACAGAAGGATTTTATCCTCCTATTTAATCAATGGCATAGGTAAGCATAGGTTTATTTGTATTTTTAGTTTTGCCTTTTATTATAATAAAAATTATATAGACCCACTGTTTTGGGTTAGTATTTAATATTAAAATTTTGACTATCCAAAAACAAAGCCTGATCTCTTTACAGTATTTGACCTTACTGTATTTTTTTTTTTATTGATTACAATAATAGCTTGGAATTGAATGTTAAAAGCACTTCTTCAAACATTATAACATTGATTTCTTTGCTGCTTTAATCCTGTTTGTTAATTACAGAATAGTAAAATCATAAGTGTGCATGTAAGGTTTTCTGTTAATCTTTCTATCTTTTGTGTTTTGATATTTTTTTAGATTAAGAATGAGTTGCAGCTTGAAAAAGAGCATCACCTGCGCGATCTGGAAAATAAACTTGGAGAGTATATTGCTTCTTTAGCCTTTCAAAAGACTGTTAAAAAATCCAAAATGCTGGAGCTTTATACTGCTATCATAAATGTGCAAGCTATGCTCTTTGAACAACTGAGCACATCAAAAACCCTGTCAAAATTGGAATGTATTCAGATTTTAGAAGCACATAATCCTGTAAGTAATGTAGTTGTTAAAAGAAAAAAGATCCCATTAGGAAAAAACAACTATTACAGTATCTTATTTTGATTTTGATTTAACTGCTGGTTTGCAGCTTTTAGTGGCCCAGCCTTTAATTTCTGTGATGATGTGCACTTTCATGTGTTTAGTAAAAGACATAAAGAGGAGGAAAGTCTTAGAGTCAGGGAAGATTGTGGATTATTATTATTTATTTTTACTGTAATTGCGTGCAGTCAGGAGGAGTAGTATTTTGATGGCTAATTAATGTTTTATTTATTGCAAGGAAGACAGTTGAGAAGTGATGGTGAGTCGTGACTGGTATAGTAGATTGTTGTGACTGCATTACAAAATTGTTCATGTTGAAGTGCTATCCATACATAAAACCCATAACCACATTATATGCTTCAATCATCAAGTTTTTAGAGATTATATATACAGCCTTCTACCTGTCTATCTCTATCCAAGCACACTCATGCAGTTTAAATAGTGGAAACTTTGGAAGGACTTCTTCCCTTCACCATATTTATTACATGCTTGATATGTGCCAATTTTCTAATCCTTTTTTAATACTTCAGTGCTCTGTATTCATAAGGACTTTTTTTTCTACATCTGCTATTTGAAACCATCCAAGTGAGGCTTGGGAGAGCATTGGAGTAGAACAAACAAAATGGGTTTTGAGAAGAAAAACCTCTTTGCTAGAGGGCATCATTAGACAGCTATTGCTGTGAAAATTCCTGGTTAAATTTTAATGTGGTCATCTCCACAGAGTATCCCATAGAGTGGCAGTCAGAATGCTTATATGCCTCCAGTTTTGCTTAAATTTGTATTAAATCTGTAGGAAGCACTGAAAGTTGTACGTAGATGGAGTATTTTTGCCTTTTATGCAGTAAGTGTGAGGGGACTGTTCAGAGATGTTGCTTTTAGCTTCTCTGTCCTTGAACAGGGGAAGAAAAGGATTGAAGGAGGGGCAGAAGAGAGACCTAGAGTAGCTAATGCTGGATTCTTTATCCAATGGGCAAGAACTGAACTAAGCCCTAATTTTATTTTTTTTAGGGATGTGGAGAGAATGATGGTATTTTAGACAATTGTTTACAGTCCTTGTTAGGGTTGATTTAGAGGGACTGTTTCCTGGTGATGAAACTTCTCTCTCTTGCTGTGTTATTGCCCAAATCCTTGGTCTCACTAACTGGCAAATTTAATTACCTGTTGCTTTAAAACAAATATATCAGATTACGCAGGATTCCTGAATGGTGATGACATCAATGATGGTTTTTGCCAATCAGTGCAACAAACATACCTGGCTATATATGAATTGGCTTCATCCCCTCACAGAAAACTCAGGGTTGGTGTTAGGAGAGTGGGTTTAAGCACAGTGTCAAATCCTGGGAGCAGACACTTACTTAGAGTTGGGGTGCTCCAATGAATCTGTAGCGTGAATACAGCTGATGAGGCAGAGGAATAGATTCAGCAATTTTCTCCAAGGTACAGATTAGGAAGTGGGGCACTGAGATAGTAAGTGACATAAAGCTAGAGGTGAGACAGCAGTGACATTGGAAAACAGGGATATGAATCCTGCCTTTGTATGTCTAGTTTGACTCTTTGACTAGAGAGAGATCCTTAGCAGGAGGGATCCAGTCCAGTCTATTTTAACCCTTTCATTTTCAGAGCACTGTATTTTAATCCTCACCTTAGCACACTAAATGTGAATTACTGTCTTTTAACTTCAAATCTCTTTGATATTAGCTGTTAATTCAGTATAACTAAAACTAGTCAGTCTGAATTTTTCAAGCTGTTTCAGTGGTTTGGTGCAGTTTATAAATTATAATGGTGCCATTCCCTAGTTTGGATCTCAGCCATGATGGTACTATACTTTCTAGATGTCCTCTACAGCAGAAGGTTTCAGAGAGCATTGACTTTTAACACTATGAAAAATGAGTCGTATTTTTCATCATTGTTCTGATATTCATAATGTGCCAGTCATGTTTACTGAAGCTCTTCAGTGAATTGGAAAGTGTAATGACTGCAACTGGCTGGGTAGAATGAGAAATGAATAAAGTAATATCAGAAAGTCTGATACCATCATCTTTTTTTCTTCACTTCAAATGAAATTTGTTCTTTCAAGTTAAGTTATAACTTTTTATCATCATGCCTTTTCAACCTCTAGGAGATTGAAGAACTCGACAGGAAGCTGGAGTATGAGATGTTACATAAGGACTCAGCACAACAGCATCTAATCAGTAGGCAGAGGTGGATTCTGGATGGTTTGGGACTTTCAAGTGAAGCTGTGGAAACAAATGCAGAAAGACACGTGACAGTTTTGCTAAGACAGGCCATGAATAAGTGTAGGCAATTTATAAATCTATACCAGCAAAGGTAAGTTCTTTGGTCTCAGGTTTTACTGTGTTGCTGCAGTCCTTATAGACCATAAGATATTATAAAGAAACAGCAGGCTAAATGTTCTGCTATGCTGGGGAGAGCCTGTATATCTATGTTTGAACATTGCTGCCTTGTGCTGTGGCTCAGAGCATAACTGAGGAGTCTTGGGAATATTGAAATAAGAAACATGAATTAATAATAACTTAGTAACATATAGATTGTGCTGTGTTGCATGGCAATCACCATTTTTTACAGGCATAGTGGAAAAATAATGATGCTCCTTAGCAGCAAGGAGGTAAAGAATTTTAATCCAGTTGCTTTGTCTCCCAAGGAGATAGACAGGGACTTCTGAGAAACCTGATCTGCTGGGGTCAGAGGGGGTAGCTGAGACAATTGAATTTCCATCTCCATTGTCACTCTGTAGACTGAATTCCTTGTCACACAATTATTTTTGATGGGATATATAAACTCCTCTTCGGCAACATGCTCAGTTTCACTTTTCCCTGGCCAGTTTTTAAGTAAAGATATCAGTGACAAATAAAATGCTTCTTGGGAGATATATAAAAATATCTGTCTTGTCAGGAAGGTTGCCTAACAAGAATGGATGATAATGTGCAAAACTGCAGCCTATTGTATTACATTCATTAGGGTTACAGGAGGTAGAAGTGACATTTCCATGTGTATTGTACAGTATTAAAAGCCTACCACGTTTCAAGCTTCACGTAAGATCCTCAAAGGGCTCCTTACATTAGAAAAGAGTGTTCTCCATGAAACAATTGATATAGTAAAAATGGCTATGATAGTACTAAGTCTATTTTAACTCTGAAAAGGCTGAAGCTCTGCTCAGTGTACATTAAGAGCTTTCCTGTTGCAGAAGTAAAGAGTCACTAGAAGAACAGATAGATCTCTGCAGTAGTACCCACAAGCCAGTAACCTATCAGTGAAACCTTCAAAGAAACTGCAATTAGTTTTTACCTGAAAAATTATGGGAAGAAACAAGTTACTTTTGTACATGTACAGGTTTGTATATGGTGACATCATGATTTGGTCTAGAAACAAAAAAATCAGTAGTGAGGAAGTTAACTGTTTAATATTGTATTTCAGCAACAAAAAGTTCCACAACTTGCCATAAAGTGTGGTGATGAAACTTAAAGAGGAGGATAGGGGCAGGTTGAATAACATCATTTTGGAGCAATTCCAGATTTGAATTGTGTGCCAGAGCATAGCCTTAGATTCTGTTCTGATGTTTGCTTGGTGGTTCAGGGAAGAAGAGGGTAGAAGTTGGCATATTTTATGAGTTATGCTGCTCACACAGCTTGGCTGACAGAGAGATACTCTTCCCAAATGGATGGCTTTCAGATATTGTTTCCTATAATACAGTCATTGCGTCTGGGAAGATTTCAATGTTAATTCTGTCTTTCACTTCAGCTTGAGAGATGAGCAATGGAATTGTGTGGTGCTTGAAAATCTCCTGGAAAATATAGAAATGGATGCATTTTTGGCAATTTATAGTCAGGTAAGCGTGAAATTGAACAAAGCTTCGAAGTTTAAATTACAGCTGTATCTGGAAATCAGCTTTTCTTCTTTGTTGGGAACTATTACAGGTGTATTTGGAGTTACTATCTGCTAGTAGTTGTTGCCAGTTTGCAGCCTGTATTGTCAGTCACTTCAGTTAATTCTGACCTACTTTCAGCCTTTTGAATTTTACTGATTTGTACTTCCATTTGTTCATTTAGAAATCCTTTCAGGGGGTTGTCCTGTTGCGTTTCATTCTGCAGAGAACTGAAGTGCCTGATTTTCTGTTTGACAGACAGATTTACTGTCTGATTTTCATGTAATTATACCAGGGTTTTGTTTAGGTTTTAATGAGTGTTAGGAGTGATTTGCATTGATTATGTTTCAAAATTAAATGATAAAAGGACTGCTAGTTAAATTTTTTAGTATCATTACTTGTACTTGTTTTCAAAAAGAGCATCTCATCTTCAGGTAATTTACTGTCTGTTGGCTGCTTGTCAGTCCTACAAAAGGCCTTAACAATGAATCACTTGATTGACCCCAATCAGGCCTTGGTTTAGATATGTTTTCATCAGAAAAGAGACTCGGTGGTACAGCTTTTTGTATCCAAGTATCTTGCCTCCCAGGGACGAATGTGGTCACAGTCCCTTGTATCAAAAATTGGGAGCTTCAGAGAGCAGCATGTCAAGGAAGGACCACCTTACTCTAAGGATCTCTCAGCTTTTCCTGTATCTTTGTTTCTGCTCAGTTTTCTGAACTCTTTATTCTCTCTTGAGTTCAACGTCTATTTGAGGTCGAGTAGTCTCATGAAGAATTGGAGTGAGACTACTATATATTGTATCTGTGTTAGGAGATTTACCTGGAAGGTAGCACGTTTTCAGATCCTTACTCTGATTTGGGTAAAGAATTTGCATCAAGATGATCTAACACTCCCAGGAGCATGATAATAATTTCACTCTCTACCTCTCATGGGGACTCTTGGACTCCACTCAGAGCAGAGTCCTTCTGTGAGCCTTGCTGGAAGAGGCTTAACTCTGCATACCTGTCAGTCTGATGGCTAAGGTGCTGTGCTGGAAAGGAAGATCTTATTTTCTGCTAATTAATTGAATCAGGCAGAGTGGAAATTCATACCTCATCTTAACACTTTTCCATCCAAAACCTCTTTTAGTGGATCTAGTAGAGTGTAACATTTAAAGGTGTTTGCTGAGGAGGTCATGACCAGTATTGCCCCCCTCCCAGTTTTAAATCCAAGCCATGTGTACCCTAAGCGTGTATTGGTGGTTTTTTACTATTATTTTCCTCTTTGATTTCCTGCTGAGCCTTCTGTTGCAACTGTTTTTTTCAAGTCAGTTTGCTACCCTGTTGGCCTTGACACTTGGTATATTGTAAGCAGATGTGGCTGTCAGGAGCTGCTGAATTCTGTCCCAGCCTTCAGTTCCTTCTCATGTTTTCTGCCATGGCCTGCTGCACATAGAGATGTTTTATTGGGACTTCACAGAAATAGCATCCTGCTGACACTGCTAAAAATTTCTGCTGCAGGCTTTTGTGGGGTTCTTATGATGTAAATATTCACATTATGGTGAGTTTTAATCTGATTATTTCATTATAAGATTTAACTTTGTATGTATTCATTCAGTTGTGGAATCATGGTGTGGGCAGTGACAGTTTTTCAGAAAGGGTATTAAATGAGGCTTTATTTGCCCATTTGTACTTGCTCAAGATTTCAGGTTTTGTTCTTTGGTTGGTTGGTTTTGGTTGTTTGTTTGTTTGTTTGTTTGTTTGTTTGTTTTTTTAATAAAACAGGTAAGGAGTTAACAGGTTTTGAAAGGTCATTTGGACTTTGCTGATTTTTCACTGCTCTACTACGATTTAAGTAGTCAGTCTTGGTGGGCCAACTCTTGTATATTCTTTTTATACTCTTGGAGGCTTTCAGGTTTCCTTTCAGGTAGTTGTAGAGAGCAATAAGGTCCCCCCAGAGCCTTCTTTTATTCCATCTAAACAACCCCAGCTCCCTCAGCTGCTCCTCATAAGGCTTGTGTTCCATTCCCTTCACCAGCTCCATTGACCTTCTTTGGACTCTCTCCAGCACTTCAGTGTCTTTCTTCTCATGAGGGGGACAAAAAGCATTCAAGGTCCTTTTCTTGCAATTTAAAGAACACATTACACTGGCAATTATTAGGAAACTATCTTTCTTTAAAGAGGATTTTCTACTTTAGACTACTGCAAAAGAGACAGAGCTGTGAACAGAGCCCTCTCTGAAAAAAACAGGGAAGTTTTACTTTCCTACACTTCATGTTTCAGCTTACATCCATATCAAAGCAGATCTAGGTCAATAAGATATTTGCTTGAATGCAAATGAGTTCAGGATCATAAGCCTCTGGCTGAGATGTTACTTTTGAATAAACTCATAGCTATAGCCCCAGGTACACTGGTTGCATTTTAGATACAACAGATGATGCACGCAGACTGTCATGTGGAAACAGCACAGGAAGCTTGAAACACAGCATGGTTCAAGTTCATTGATTCTTGCATTAGTTGTTTAATTACACATTGCTCAGTCCAAATACTTAAAAGCAATTCTGCTGTTTGTAAACTACAATTCATTCCTGGGTTTATTTTGTCTGAATTCAGAGAATACAGATGAGTCTGTTGGTGGCACAAGTAGCACCTGTATCCATTTGATATTACAAAAAAGTGAGTTCCTGGTCTCTGTGGTATTTTACGTGAAGAATCAAACTCATCCCACGGTGGAGGGCTTTTGGTCTGACTAGTGTGACCATTCCTGTGTTTGGATGCACATTCATTTGCCATTTCTGCAAGCTGGTCTGAGTCACTGTGAGCGTCTGAAAGTGCTGCTCAGTGCTGGTGCACGTTCAGACACCAGCTCTCCCTTTGCTGTATGGTGGACACCTGTGCCACTTTTGGGATTGTTGACAGCATGGTGGCACCTTGAAGAATTGCTTAATTTTTAATTTTGCTATGTTAGAAAAGTATTAAGGGTTGCTCATCAGTCCAAATCATACGTGGTGCAGAAAGGTAAGGGTCAGAGAAAAGAGGAAAGTGGTAAGAGGAAAGCAGTACTAAAGTCATGATGTTTCAATCATCCATGTATAAATTACTGAGTTAAAGATCCTGAGACCATTTAGCCAAAAAGGGCAGAATAGGTCACAGAGGTCTGTCATGTTTATTTGCACTTAATGTTGGTTTTTTGTAAGTTTCTAGAAGAACAGTTTTTAAAAACCAAAAGTACAGCACACTCTCTATACAACTACAGAAATTAGGTGTCAGTAGGTGATCTTATTTACATTCCTCTCCAGAGAAGAATCAAATAATTTCTTCCCCTGATTAGCCTGAGCAGAATGTCTTCAGTGTCTAACTTTGGTTCATGTTTAGGCTGAAAATACTGGACGTTTTAACAACTGCACCAATTTACTTATCTCTCATCAGTCTTAGGATTTTGTCTTGTTAATTCTGTGTGATCTCAGTGGTTTCCATGGAAAACCTGTAACAGCACTGAAGAGCCCAAGAAATTTTGCAAAGTTGCTAGTTTTCCTACCTTTTGGAGAGGAGTTCTCTGCTTGGAGAATTATTATGGGAAAAGGAACTTTATTGATTTCTTTATTTTGTGTGGCCATCTAAATGTTGGTTAAGACTGCCTAGCTGGAGATGCTTTATTCCTTTCAAAGAATAAGATTCACTTAATACAGGGATCTCCTGGGTGCATTCACTCCTCTGAAAACTTGTCATGCAAAAAAGATGCAGGGTTTAAACATTTGCTGTGACATTTTGAATCCACTGTGGACAAAGAAACGGACTGTCTTCCTGTATGGGGGACCTTGTGGGTTTTCTGTGTGACATGGGCTTTGTAGTCATCTCCTCCATCAATGCTTATAGGAGGGTCTGCAGAGCGGTGATGACTCAGCTGTTGTGACTCATCTTGAGTGTTTGGCACGTCTTACCCAACTTCAGCTACCTGAGATATGTATATGGTTTGAATAGACCACAGCAGCTTTTTTTTTTTCTGTCATTCTTTGAGACATTTAACTTGCTTTAATTTGCTCTATTCTTTTCTTTCCATGTAGTTCTCAATATACCGTAGACTTTTCATGTTTGATACATGTGAGAGATCTGCAGAAACAGCCCGGGGGACACATTATTTTTGACAACAGAGCAGAAAATAGCAATGGGATTTTGGTGTTTGGAGGGGGGCAGGAAGTGGGGCTGGCTGAGCGTCTAGGGAACAACTAAATTTGAACTCGGTCTATTTGAACATTATATGAATGAATATGCATTACTACTGACCTTTAGGCCAAAAAAGAGAGGACATTTGGAAATAAAAAAACACCACCAAAACAAAAACAGATATTTCCTTTACCTCTTAACAAATGTTACAAACTTCTCTGAGCTTATCACAGAATCTGGTGTTGAGAGAAGCTGAACAATGAAGTGATCAACCATAACAACATGTAAATGTTATCATTAGGTTTTATAGAGTATTTTTCCCCTCTTAATTTTACAGACCAAGGAATGCCATATTGCTTCCTCGCTATCTTGAAAGGATTTCTTTATGACAGTAGAATCCATAAATTAACTAAGCCTTAGATGTTAAAATATGGTTGCATTGTGACTTTTCAGACTGAAGAGCATTGAGTACATGCCCTAAGCAGATATGGTAAAATCAACTGGTTATTTAGTATTTACATTGCCTATATCCCAAATGAAATGGAAAACTATGATATACATGGATCAGATACATGTGGGTAGAAACAGGGAACATGGCACTGTGATCAGTTAATACCAAAACCGTCACTACTAAAATGATTTTCAATTATATTTTTTGTTTCTATAATCAATTTATTCATTATTATAATCAATAGTTATTTAATGATAGTAATTAAAATTGGATAACATTTATTTTCAATGCTAAATTTATCTGTCTTCTTATTAATCCTCCAGGAGCTCCGTCTGGCAGGTTATTTAGCTAAACTGACGAGGGTGCCAATGGGGATGTTGCACAGGGTCCTGAATTGGTTGCTGCCCTCCAGCTCACAAAGTGAGGTTCTTTCTGTCCTCGATTCCATCAATAAATATTCAGATGGTGTTGTTGATAGTGACAGTAATGCAGATGAATCTGGCAGCTGTAGGAAAAGGTAAGTGTGATGCTTTCTGGTAGACCATTGCAAGACAAGATTACTGCTTTACATGTACTTGTATTTGCTGGACGAGGAGATTGACAACAATAGAGAAAATCACAGGTGCCTAAGTTTCCTTTTGAAGTCTTTTGTGGGGTAAAAGTACTTTGAAACTACTACCTTATTTTGTGTAATATTTTAACTATAAGAAATTGATTGATTGATAAAAAGTTAATAAATTTTACAAGTTCATTAATTAAACAGTTTTAGATAGATTTATAGATCTTGTTCTGATAATTTTCTTTCTGTTGACTGACTTGGAGTTTGTTAAAATATTTCCCACCTGCTTTTTGTATTTATAATATTCATAGCACACCAATTTTTATGTGTCTGTAGCTCCTAAAGATATAGAGGAGGTCCTGCTTTCTAGCAGTGGAAGTTTCAACCTTGTGGATGCCTGTCCCTTTGTAGTTCATTACTGAAGTCCCAAGTGGTCACTTTTTTCCCTTTACTCAGAGAGACTGAGTCCTCTAGTTGGCAAATGTGGGTTGTCAAGGAGCAGATAAGGGTCCTTGGGACCATGCCCTGAGGTGTGATCTTAGCTGATTTAAATGATGTGTCAGGGCAGCAAAAATACTTGAGCGCTCTTACTGGCTGTATCTGTGGTATTACTGTCATGGGTTTGTAAGCTAAAGTCAGAAAGGGGAGAAAAATGTGTATAAAATGGGATTTGCTGCTGGGAATTTTTTTCTTTCCTTCTGCTTCAGGAAGAACCAAGAGTTGTGGCAAGCACGGGAGAAAAAAGTGAGGCAAGATCTGATAAACAGAAGTTTAGAAAAGATCCCTTCTCTAAAAAATAGGAAAGACAGGTAAGGAGAAAACTGGAAGAAACATATATGGGCTTTTTGGTTTACAGTTTATTTAATTTCCAAAGATTCTTCTTACAACTATTAGAAATCAGAAAGTGAGTTCATAAATATGCATTTTCTAACACTGTTCTGCTGTTTGATGCTTGTGTTTCCTACAACATGTTTACACATAATACGCAAGTGTAGTAAATACCTC